AGGTCCAGGTCCAAGCCTAGATGTGAGCCCCTTCAACTAAACAGGATCTCTTAATTGTAAATTCTGAACAATAAATATCAGGTTATCTTCAGTTCACCTAGATCTGTTTTACCCTTTAAAATAGTTTGATTCTGGTCTTCTTTGAAATAGACCTACATACATATACAATAAATTGAGACACATATGGTATACATTAGTACTATATGATTAGGATGGTCAATTTTCTTTATTTTGATGTTACTTGTCCCATACTGTCTTGCATCGAGCAATAATTAGAAACTTGTTATTTGTACTTTTGGTTGTCTTGCTATTGCGCAACTGGCAGAAATTATGAACAGGTCTGGTCTGTATTCTCGTACCTTTAGATTCAGTCTTTATGGCATTCTAGCGTTATAAAATATAGTATATCATTAGATAATGAAAAACAATTGAAATGATCCTGCATCATGCATCATCATCATGCATGAAAGAAGTGTTTTAAAGTGTTAGCTAAGTAGTAATGTGTCTTACATATTTCACACTTACATGTGGAATGCTCATTATGGTACTTTCAACAAGGATGCTCATTAAAACAGAAAAATTAATATAGAACTGGTAAGTAGCCACTGGTTAAATCTAAGTACATTTGTACTCATATAAAACAAGCCAACTTGGCAAGTGTTAATAAAACTGTTTAATGATGAGCCATTTTCATTGCGGTTAGCCATATGTGAAATACAATGCCGTTTCAATAGGGGAAGGAGAGATAAAGATACTTTGAGCTATTAGGATTAGTTTTACTTTAGTAAATAGTGTGATTGGTTGAATTGATTGAGCAGAGCGATTTGAGTTGAATGAATTATTTAGCTTAATAATTCTATTAAATTAAGTGAATGTGGATTAATGGAGCAATGGGCAATTATATGAAATTAAGGGTTGGGGTATTAATGGGGAATGATCATCATGATAAACCATGGTATCTCATTTCTTCTCTGTCTTGAGATGCATGTTTCTGGTGAAACAGAAAGATGCTGTGAGTATCAGAATGGGGAATGATACGATTGAGCAATGTGGTGTATACAAAATTAATTATAGAAAGTGATAAAATAGTGTAATTTACAATAAGGAATGATGAAATTGAGGAGAGTCTATTTACGAAATACTTGACATTGATGAAATTGAGCAATGGGGAATTGGGAAACAGAGACGGAGGGGGGAAATAAATGGTTAGCAAGGGGGTCAATTGAATTGAGAAAATTGATTTCATGAATTCAACAAAAGGGAATACATGTAATTGTAAAGATTGAATTTGATTGATTAAGGAAGGGCAAAGGATATGAGCTAACAAATACGAGAAACACACCTTTATACTCTTCAAATCAGCAAACAGATGTTAAAACTTGTTTTTACTGTGATGAAGCTACTTCACTTATAAGACAAAATGTAAGAAAAGCATTTTGACATAATTATATGTATTTGTTTTTGGGGTTGTCTTGTCCTAATAAAAATGTCAATGGTCCTTCATTGAATCTGAATAAGTAAAAGTTAATTTTGCTTTGCCCAAGTGGTTATAAAACACAATCTTGCATCCTTGTTTAGGACATTCAAAACAAATTTTGGATTTTGAACTTTAGATGTAAAATTAGCCACTGATTTTCAAAATTGCTATCATGTTGAGTTCAAAATTATGAGTGATTTGAAAAAATGTTTTGTTCTTGGATTTGCTACTATTGGAATTTTTTCTCCCGAGTTAGCATTACGTCTGTTCAGAAGCATAAAAATGGAAATCAAAACCTTTTTACCACTTTTGGCCCAGCCTGTATATTTTTCAAAATAAGTACGAGTGTACTTGTTATACACAGATGACCCTTTCAAACTTTATTCATGCACTAAAGGGATAATCTAGATTATGAATATAATGATACCCACAATGAGCTAATTATGAATTTCCTTTAACTGTAAACTTTGAATAGGAGCCCTTTAATAAACCTGTTTATTTAAATGTTCTAAAACTTTCTTTGCTTTGTTTCGGAGAGGTATTAAGAAGTGTTCATTGTGATCTTCCATTGTTAAGTAATGGTTTTAATATTGTATTCTGTTGTGTTGTGTTGTTCAGTTTGACTTGCGAGGAGGTCGAGGTCGGGTCGTTGGCAAATTGTAGTGCTCCAAGATCAAGGTGAGAGAACACTAATTTTGTTATAGCAGAGTCTGAACATTACAGTTTTAGAATATCATTAATATCAATCATTGCAATTTAGATATTATCCCAAACCTTATCTTATCAATCATTTTGGAAGCATTGAATTATTTATTTAAATAATTTGAGCTATCAGGAGCTCAAATGTAGCTTAAACCTGCAAAAATCATAGCTATCAATTTGAAAAGTTGTTTTCTAAAGTTCTCCCTCAGAGAGAGAATAATTTTTGACAGCATCTGTCGTTGATTTTTTCAAATGTTCCTATTTAACTCCAATAATCATGCATTAAAGATTTTATAGAAAAGAACTGAATTAAAAATACATATAATATGTTAGAGACCTAAGGTAATTGTATATTCTTTGGGTTTGGCTAACAACTGTGTAGCCTCTTGTATTTTGATGCATTTCTGGCATGTTCATTTTTAAACCTCAAAATGTATGTGGTTGACCGACTGCATGCAATCATTTTCTATTTATCTAGAGTATTGACTCCAAAGTTACATCAAAGTAAGGGAAGGGAGAATTGCATTAAATCTATTATTCATTGAGGATTAAGCCCTTTCTCTGTAGTAATATCACACTCAGCGATACTTTATGAGGCACAAGGAAGCACCTTTATGCACCATCATTTTTGTATAAACAGTCACCCATTAGTTAGACAATAAATAGCTCATAATACAATTTTTATTGTCGTATCTCAATTCTCAAGTTGCAGTTTTTTATCGTTTGTTTCTGATTTTACCAATTTTACACCTTGCAAAATTGTTATTTTTCAATCAGTTAGACAGCATGTTTGCCGATTTATTTTGACATTTTTTATTGTATTTTATTGAGAGGTCATATATACTTTAGGGTAGATTGATTTACTATAGACTTCAGGATGAAAAACACTTTCGCTAAATTGGAATTCAATATGTCAAATAATTAAATCTAGCCCTGCTATGAGATGAACAAAGGCATACAGAGCATGACTAGATGTTTTACTCCGTCAGTGGATTTTCAAATATCTAAGATTGTGCTGCACCTTCAGAATAATTCTATAATAATTGATCTTGTAAATATGTAAATACAGTTGAAACTGTAAACTGAAACACCTCTGTTAGTGGACCACTTTTCAGAGTCTCCGGACCATTTGACTTAATGTTAAAAGAACCTCTGTAAGTGGAACACTTCCCAAGTGAAACATTTTTAGAGGTAACCAAAGGTGTTCCACTTAGCCAGGTTTTACTCTACTTGAGACTAAGAAAAATATTACATTTCATTAAATATGGCTAATTAAAATCATGAAAATTATATAAATTATGCTATTCATTATACAGGTCATTTTGACAAGGTGTGATACAGAATCACAATGTTTTTCAAGGAATCCACCAAAATGTTTCTTTGTCCAAGCTCTTATTTTATATCTTGGATGTATTCTTAAATTTCATTTTATAGGATCATTTGTGTGTCAACTGTCAAGGTCAGAGTTAATATAACACAATAAACCTTTTTGGGGAACACCTTTAAGGAGCACTCCTCTACAAGGAATGGTTTCAGCCAGTATGGGACGCATTCCCCGTAAACATGTTTTCCTGTAGGGTTATATCAAGATCTTCAAGCAAGAAAGGCTGCTCAGGCCAAATAAGAATAGAGCTGAGTATCTGAAATTCTGAAAACGTTCTCCAATCTTGTAAATTAAAAAAAGATATCCATGTGAACATTAAATAGAAATGATACTACTTACTTTATAAACAATTTAATGTTAAAAATGTTATAAATTTATGGCAGATGACCAGCAATTTGATGAGCATTCAATGTAATGGTTGATGTAATTCATACACTATAAATACAGTGCATATGTACTATGTAGTATAGTTATTGTACATATATGTTTTTTAATTGCGTTAAGACCCCTAAAGGGATGAAGTAATTCTTTTTTGGCTAAATAAGATGATTTATATTATAAAAAGGGTTACATGAATGGTCAGTATATTTCATGGATGACTTTACAAACAAGTTTAAGGTTGCAAATGTAATAATTATGCTATTAGAAAATAATGAATGCAATGAAGGATGAATCTTTTACAGTGTATTCATTTACTATATTGTGAACAACATAAAATAATGAATATTGTTCATCATATCAGTTATTATTACATTAATATGAATCAATAGATAAAAAATAGAATAAATGAGTGCTATTGTATGACTGTGACAAAATTAGGCTCATGTGCAGAAGAGTGATATTAAAAACGTTTTGCAATCCTTTGGAAACAACAGGATTTTGGTCACCTTGACATGACATATTTTCTACTTGGTGATGATGTCATACAAAATTGATGGGTATCTACACAGGTAAATTATACCAAGCCCCGTAAAAGCTTGAACGAGGCTCGAAAATTACGAGCCAGTATAAAGAAAAATAGCACACCCCTCATACGGGTCTGTATGGGTACAGGGCTCATTTTCACAGGTTCTGACAGGCCTCATAATCACAAGCTCTTATGAGGCTCGTATAGTACGAGCAATTACGTTAATTTACATAGAGTGAACATGGGTCATACAACCTTGTACGGGCCCTGATATAATTTGCCCATGTATTATGTATAAACAGTACAGTAAAACCTGTAAAGTGAAACACCTCTGTAAATTGGAATCAGTAAGTGGAACACCTCTGTAAGTAGAACACTTTCACATGACCAATTGACTTAATGTTAAATGAACCCCTGTACATGAAAACCTCTTAAAGGGAACATTTTTACTGTAACCAAAGGTATTCCTTTTATACAGGTTTTACTGTACTTGAGATTTCACCCATTGATCTGTTTTAAACATGTATTTGCAGCAATTGAAGAAACAACTTGTTGGTGAACTGAACAAATGTTAAATCTGTTGACTTAAGATGTCATAAAGAGTGAAAGGAAAATATGATGGATATCAAAGAACATACTTAAACATAATTATTGGTAAGTTGCTCAACATTAAATTAATTTGTTGGAAATCCATCTTCATTAAGAGTTTGACTTTGTATATATCTCTTATAAGAAGAGCTAGACTTTTACACTGGCCTCTAGGTTGCAGGTGAATGTGCACTTATACAGTCTTTGTAATTGACTATTGATAATACTACATGTATATTTATTCATGTGTTCAAATGAAAATGCAAAAATATCCATATGCTGTAAACAATGTAGCATTGAATGCTGTATTATAACGGCTATGATAATGATAAATTGCATGATTCCCTCTTAATTTTGCTGTTTTCAAAACGCTTCCTGGAAGGGTTTATTTTTGGATGTAGAATGCAATAATAAGTGCTACCTTTGATGAAGAAATGCTACCTGTATAAAGTATTTCTTGCATTCCCTGTTTTAAGATAATCCGAAAGAGTAAAAAACTAGATTTTCTAGAGACTATAAATGACCCCATGAGTATAAGCATCTACATAGTCTTTAGCATGTATAAGTCTTTGTACTTCTTTAATTCATACCCACATTGTTTAAGATCATAAGTTAGTCAATATTGTTCTTTTAAATACATGTATTGCAATTCCTACACAAATATGCAGATATATTAGATGATTACGTGGGTAATAACTTTCAACATCTGCCTGCTGATATCCTGAAGTCGTCCCATTTTCAAATGGACTGATCATTTTACACAATGATCAAATGCTTCAAAGATCGCTTTATTTTGCCTGATTGATGTCAGAATGGCCCAGTCATCAATCATCAGTAGTTAAACAGTTACCTTGATCATTTTTCAATCAACCATGAAATTACATGGAATGACAGACTGTATACAGTGATCACCTTGACCAAGGATGTTCTCAGATATTACTACATGTATAGACTATGTAATGATTATCTAATAGCTGTAGTTCTTCCCTTGGATGAATGTTATTAACACCAATGCATGTATTTTATGAGAATTGCCTATAAAAATATTTCCTCTTTAAGAGAGGATATACAAGTACAATTGAGTAGATCTAAGAACTAGCCCGGGACAGTCTAAGCTGGCACAAACTTCACAAAAGCGTTTAATCATGATATATCCACTTATTGGGGATAAATGATATTTTACTTTCTTCATCTCTTCATTTTCCCCAAAACAACAATTTTTGTAATCAAATAATTTAACTGTATTCATTCAAATGTATGAAATGTAAAACATTTGTATATCCTCGCATACAGATTGCTGCATCATTAGTGAGAAAAACAGGAAAACCTAAAAGAAAATTACCCTGTGTGCAGAGTCTAGTTAAAAAGACGAAGCTCTCTTTTAAGAAGTGAAATCGAATGAATGCAAAGGGTAAAAGGAAATCTATTGGAAGGGAATAACTTGAATCTATTTGTAGCAACGTTGGAATGTGCGATCTTAGAGATTTCAGATATATTTTCTACTTGAAAGAAACATTTGTTTGGATGAATATAAGCACCTTTATTTTTAGAGGTAATGCCAATTAGAAATCCAAAAATAGAGAGTTATATTATACGAGTTCAACATTTGTTTTTGTTTTGAGATACAATCTACATTTTACTTTCAAGAAGGCTGGAGGGGTATTACAGAATCATTGTACCTTTTATATAACATATTGATCCATCCTGCGTGAAGACATTATGATCAATAAACCCACTTTTTCATGATAAATTAGATCAGTATACCAATCATCAAATATTAAACCGTTATTATAACACCTACAAAGTAAAGTTCATATATGCAGGTGATTCGTGTTGAATATTTTGATTCTGTTTACACAGTGTGTTTGGGTTACGACTCAAAAGTTTTAGGTCATGAGCACACAATATCACACTATAATATTGCTTCTCAGAAGTTGAAATCAAACGATGATCTTTACAAATAGGAAAATCTTTTATTGGGAGACATGTTTATTCAATGGAGTTAATAACGGTGGACAACAAGTTCTATTTTGATCTAATCGTTATGTTACAATTGATCTGTGCAGGAAGTTCTATACGCTATAAAGTACATGCACATTCACGGCTCAGCCAGCATAAGAATGAGTCATAAAGCAATGGCTGGAATATTCTCTATGAATTGATGACTTTCTTTACAGGTATATATTAAATATCAAATGATATAATGTCGGAGAAGGAAAAGGAGGATATATTTGTGATACCATTGAGGTAAGAGGTGTGGGTGCTATAAATAGAATTGCTTTTATTTGTTATTTAATTTGTTTGCTTTTTTAGTTATCAATGAGGTACACTGGTGATTCTTGGCTCTTTATGATATGTTACAACACAGTTTTATATTTTGCTTTTTATAGTTAGTTATTGTTTTATGTGGCTTTTAATTTTATTATTTGTTTATATTTTATATATTCTATGTGGCTTTGAATTCTTTATTTGTTTGAATATTTCTTTGAATTCTTTAACTCTATGTGTAGGGTTCTGCTTTGACTAATACTTAGTGACATACTTTAACACCAGATTTACTTAATTAATTAATTATTTATCATGTTATTGAAAGTAGATTTAGTTGCAAGAAATTTTTTTAATTTAATAGCAATTAGATATAGATATGAATATGAAAATTACATAATATCTGTGAAATGATGATAGCCCATGAATCTTGGAATGAAAATATGGAATATAATATTCGAAGAATGTTTGATAAACACAGGTTCTTATTTTACTCATGTTTTATTCTATGCTTTCAGTACTGTGGGGAATGGTGTTGATAATGGGGGATTTAGGACTAGCACTCCGGAGCCTGAAGTGGGTTTCTCCCTGGAGGTAGGGGATGACAATGTTATGGCTGGACAAAACAAGGAAAATGAGACATCGTTAGGGCATGGATTATCTCTACCCGTCACCTCCACTTTGGCTCCTGATAATGTCCAAAATGGTTCAATGTTGGCGTTAGCTGACCCAAACCCTACCCCTTTAAGTGATATCAGTACCACAGATAGTCAGTATGAATTAGTAAAAGGAAAAACAGAGGTGAATGAACTGATTGAAATTCAAGGTCAAGCTGGACTTGATTTGGAAAATGTTGAAAAACGTGAATGTGGCATCGGGCGGTGTCGTCCTATGTGTCTTCAACAATGCGCCAATATTAAAATGTTTGTTTTTGCCATATGTGTGCTCTCAGGAGTATCATCTACGCTAACTGTTGGATATCTAAATGGTGTTATAACGACAATTGAGAAAAGATTTGAAATTGGAAGTACAATATCTGGACTCATCGCAGCATCGTATGAGTTTGGTTCCCTTATATCTGTGATTTTTGTAAGTTATCTAGGAAGTACACGCCATATTCCCAAATTCATAGGCGTAGGTGTCATATTCATGGGAATAGGATCATATTTATTTGCATTACCCCATTTTATATCAAAACAATATTCAACGCTTAACACAGACTTACTATCCAATGTAACAGAGGAGAATATCTGCCGGGCTTCCTCTCAGAATCAAGAAGATCTCCTGGCAACAAAGTGTGTTGACGAGGGAAGTGGCAACTGGGTATATGTACTTATTCTCATTGCGGCTCAGATTATGATCGGCAGTGGAAGTACACCGATATACACTCTTGGGACCACATACGTTGATGACCATGTCACAAAAGCAAAAAGTCCAATTCATATAGGTGAGCTTAAATGATTTTTTATTGTGCATGCTTTGCTGCCTGCCTTAGTTCATAAATAAGTGTAAGACTCGCAACAGATGCAGAAATTGGTAAAAGTGGTGCATATTCTTTGAACAATGTCCATAACAATTTTTGGAAAGATCCCAGAAATAAAGGCACAAAGTAATATTGAACACCTAATTAACTTACCTTGGCCTCATCAATTATATTCAAACGGATTAATAAAATCCAATTAAGGCAATTGGAAGTGATATAAAATTCATACCTCATTCCAGAAAATAGACAGAGCAGATATAGCAATTTATTACACAAACTTGAATGTGAATGAGCATACCCATTACTATTTTCGTTTGATGATTGTTTTATGGTGTCTCTAATAAGTGAACTAGGTTAAAGTGACCTCTAGGGTTTAATTTTGCTTTGTGATATTGGATGAATTATTCATTTTTATGAGGTAAATGGTGCACTTTATATTGGTAAATGGCATAAATAGGCAATCATTCAATACAGCATTCAATACCTGAAACATGAAAGTGATTTACAGGGTTTGTTTCATCTCATTGCCCATCCCTCCTTGAGTTATTTTAGAAATACCATAAAACACAAGTAATTGATAAACAAAGAGGTTTCGCACAATGTTTTTAGTACAATATCCAAAATCTGTAACGCATTCACCAGATTTATGCGTAGCTGTTTGATTAAAACGAGGTGCGATAGTGGATTGTTAACCCATTGTGCGAAACCTCTTCAATATTTGGATCTGTTTGTGCATGACAACAGTCTGTGTAAAAGGCCTAAATTAATCTGTCAGACTACCTGATCCGCGTAAATATTTTTCCAAATGGTCCCATAAAACATTGTAATGATTCAGTTAGACTTGTATAACTGTTGCAAGACATGACGCTATAAATTGCTTTTATATATCAGATTAGATCATAAAATATCACTCAATATGTATACCTGATTTTGTATAGGTACCATATGTAAACAGTGGGTAGAAGGAGCATTTTCCTAACACCGATGCATTTTTTGCTCTTGCAGCCCCAATGTATGCCATGGGTGCCCTTGGTCCTGTACTTGGATTCGTCCTTGGTGCCGTCCTCCTCCAATACTACGTGGATATCTTCTCCATTGATTTCATGAAGTTGAAGATTAACCCCAATGACCCCCAGTGGATAGGAGCCTGGTGGACAGGGTTTCTCATTTGTGGAACCATCTTCTTTTTCGTATCTATACCTTTTTTTACATTCCCAAAACGAATGAAACTGGAATTGGAAAAAAAGGCTCTTGGAGAAAAGCTTAACAGGCCTGAGAAAGTACACGAGCTTCTTGCAGAACCTGAGCAAACAGCTTCCCCATATGGAAAAAATATTAAAGGTAGAATTGCATTATTTTTCTATGCCATTATGTATAATGTTCATTTGTATTTAATGTATAATGTATCTACTTATCATATAAAATTTTGTAATGTGGACATCATATTTCATGGTACTCTTGGGGACTTTTCTTATTTTGAAGTACTAATAAAATGAGAGAGTTGGTAGGCAGAGCACACATACTTTCAAAAACTCTTATTATAGTTCCATACTCAAGATGTGACCAAAAAGAACAGGCCATGAAAATAAACTCATAAACACAACTAAAATGAAATATAGTTACTCTGATTTTAAAATCTATTTAAGAATTTCTTAAATACAACTCAAATAAAAAACATCCCCTGGAGAAAAATATTTACTCCAAAATACAATCACTGAATTAATGGCAAGTTCTTCAAATTGATTTATTGTGATTTCACCTTTTATATGCGCGCTTCATAAATTGGATTCTCTGATGTTTGATTTACAATGGCTTTAAAGAATTTTATTGTTTGTATATTTACTCTTGAGTTTTTTTTATTACATTTTCAATATTGAATTTTGGTACATTTACTAATATGTGTTTTTTAGATTTGTATGCAATGTCAGTGTGAATTACGACCATGATTAACTTTTTTTCTTTAGTAAACAAAATTGAATATTTCAAATCAAGAAGTGATATGTACACTTATTTGTAGAATTAACCAGGTTACAGCACAACAAGCTAATGAATTTGTAAAACCATTGAAAACAAAATCTCTCAAAAATAGACTCAACATTTTTATTTTAAGATACTGATTACATCATGACACATGTAAACAAATTCTCATCAATCTGATTCTGTCATAAAAATTTTAAATTTGATTTCTTTGATTTTGCAGACATTCCTAAGTCCATGTGGAAGTTATGCAAGAACCCTGTGTACATGCTTATCTGCCTTGGCAGCTCCTGCGAAATAGCCATCGTTAGTGGCTTTGTGGTCTTCTTGTCAAAATATTTAGAAACTCAGTTCGGGATTTCAAATTATGAAGCAAATCTTTTCACAGGTATGTTAGATTTTAAATTGCAGTATTTGTATATATATGTTTGTTTGGGTATTCATATATTAATTCATGTCTGGATAAAATTAGATCATAATTTTAATTGAATGTTTTTTAGCATGCAATGTTGAGCAATTTATACCTTGAGGTCGAAAGTATATTGCATGCATGACTCCCATGCACTGTTTAATATTAATTTACCTTACCTTCTAAAGGTACATAAAGAGGCATTATCCTTGAGATGCACTTTTTAGCAAGATTTGTTATAATATGCTGAAAGAACATTAAATAAATATTTAAGCCCTTTTAGTGGCATTTAATATGTGCTGAAAGTACATCACCTATCTACTCCAATATTAATTGGGTTAATTTAATGATTGTACGAATAATTGAATTATTTTGCTAGATGGTAAAATAATATTTATGTAATTATTGTGTTTAACCCAAGGATATTATGATTATTTTTATCATCAATTCCTCAATATTAATTTTCTATCAGAATTTTGAACTTAACTTGTATAAACTCATTAGTCTATAAAGCTATGTATAGATGTTAATATGAACAATCACAATGATACTTTGACCATGAGGATGTACCACAAAATCTCCTTTGTACATCATGGTAATACCCCTTACCATTGCTAAATATATCTTATTGGGAACCAAGGTTCCATTTCGTTGAGGCACCCCACTTTATTGATTCTAGCATGGAGAAGGATCGGCTCTAGTATATGACCAACCATAGAGAGTAATATAAATAAATAATGGACAAACAAGCAGATATAAGGCTCCTGGCATGCTACAATCCTGAAATGTATAAATTCACAAAGATTCTAGTGTATTCAGTCAAATCACATTCAATATACATGATAGTAAAACCTGTATATCCAAACACCTCTCTAACCCAAATACTTCTCAAAGTGAACACTTTTTCTTGGTCCCAAATTCTCCCATTTGTTAACTTACATGTTTATAAAAACCTGGAATGTGAATACTTTCTTATCCGGTCCCCAAGGTGTTCAGGTTAGACAGGTTTTACTGTACTTGTATTTGGTTTGGGCAGGACTCCGAAAGAGAAATGAAGAACATCGTCCTGTTAGATGAAGCAATTGCTACCTAGTAATAGAACCTACTTTTAATGTTAACTTAGGTCTCGTTGCCTCGCTACGGAATATACACACTGTAATTGAAAAATTGGAGAAATGTTTGAACAGGAAGGCTTATAACAGAGAAATGTGTGAACTGGCAGATTGAAGCTCATTCATATTCTTAATTTGTTTCCAAGCATAGTGTTATTCTACTGATATGACATAATGATTTATTTATGAGAGAATGACCCACTTGACCAATCAGAACACTATATTTAAAGGGTGTGGTTTGTGGTAGCCTAAGAGTGACAAGCCTTTCAAATCTTGATGTAATTTGAAGATTGTTATTAGTATTTGTTCTGTTCTCAGAATCTGTTAATATGAATAAATTGCTCAATCATTGCATGCTTAAATGTTATGGTATCGTAAAGACATGTATAATTTAAATAGTGTGTAAATGTACATATTAATGCATGTTGATATCTTAAAAACTATAAAATGTGAATTTAACTACATCATGATGATATTGTACAATAGACACACAAGTCACCCTCATATTTTCATTCTGTTATACAAGAATCATTGTTATTACTTACAATAGGAAATGGAAGAGAATGAAGGTGTGGTTAGCCTCTAACTAGCCTTTTATTATTCCATGGTGACTTAGTGTGATTAATTCAATCTCTCTTATGAGACAATAAAGTGATCAATACATTGTTCTTACCTCACAGTCAGGTTTTATTAGAAAATAACAAAAAACAGTTTCAAAACCATAATATTGAAACATGATCCAGAACTTTTCAGTTTTTTATCACTTTTGACCATTTTTAAGAACATTTGTTCTATTTTAATTGAATCATTGTGTCAGAATAATTTCTAGTGCCCAGAAGTCATATTTATTTGTCTCGTCTTGTATATATTTGCTTCAAAACTAAAATAACATGTGTGCTTCTTTTTATATAGGATGTGTGGCTATTCCTGGTGCATTTATTGGTATAATTGTTGGAGGATACATCTATCAAAAATTTAACTTTTCCACCAAAGGTAAGTGATAATAGAGATATTTCGACCCCTTTAAATTGTGGTCGTACCCCCGATTCATTGGTAAGCCTGTCTTTCTACAATGTCGGAGAATGAACTACGCATTGCACTATTAAATGACCTACCTCGATACATTCCAGAGTATTTTAGAATTCTTTTTATGTTGTTAGATCACCAATTGTATGGGTTTATCGGCAGAACGAAGAGATTTTAGTTTTTACATCGGAAATATGTCAGCAATTTTCAAAATGTCGGAAGGGGAATTCCCCAGGGATTTCCCTTATGACTGGTGCATGTCGGGAACTGAATGGAGGAATTTGACGGTTGAAATAAGTTAAATATTACACGCAAATATTGCTATCAAAAACGAAAATATCTTCGTTCTGCCGATAAACCAATACAATTTGCGATTAAACTATATAAAAAGAATTCTAAAATACTCAGGAATGTATAGAGGTAGGTCATTTATGTGTGCAATGCATAGTTCATTCTCCGACATTGTAGAAACACAGGCTTACTAGTGATACGGGCGTACGACCACAATCTAAAGGGGTCGTAGGATGCGATAAATTTGAAGGACTCCATCCTTCTTCAAATGACTTCATTTATGCTGAAATTATTTTATGGAAAGAAGTGAAATACCCTTGGACCAGGAATGGAAAGACTCAGTTAAGACTCTTTGTATATCATTACTTGTAGACTAGATACATCTGTTCTATGAATATTATGCTGTAGGTAGACGTGTTTGCATGTCAAGTTAACCATATTTAAATATTAATCAATTACGTCCTTTATCGTGCTTCATGTTGATTACTTTAGCGTGCTGTTTTGATTATATCCCTGAGACACAAATTGAAGTAAATTAATTAAGTTCATTCAATTTCTATAAATTATGGGTTTGATTTGAAATGCAGTTGACATTTATATTGATAAAACACCTATTTTAAAATTGGAACTGCTCAATTTCCTTGAAATTGTAAGTACAGTATCTAATGATTAGCAAATGACCAAGTCTATGATTTGGGCTTTAAAGGTTGAAAATTATATGGTATAAAAAACATTTTTTGATGGTTTGGCATGAAACTCATGTTACACTTTTTATTTGAACTGAGATTATATGTTATTCCCTGTGTGTTATGTGTTCTAAATGTTTCATAAAGATGTCATTGTTTACATAAGCAATATCATCAGCCAGAATAGCATCAATATTTGTGTAACTTGTTTGTGTGTATATGAGTACAGTAGAGTGGTTGTGTATTCATTTTAAAGAATAGAGGAGAATAGATTAAATGTACCTGATTTGGTCGAGGTATTAGCGCTCATGAATGGTCGACTCTGGCTTGAAAGTGGCTTCAATAAATGTGTTATTTTATTGCCTTTTAACCACATTGACAGATGCTACCATGATGACTGACCGTTTTACTCCATTGCATCTTAGATGCCAAAATAAAGATTTATTTTTTTATACCTTGGGATCCTAAATATTTTACTGATGGATTCAGTTATTGGAACACATTTCTGTGATACATTATTGTTCCAGGTGCTTTACAGATGACATTAATTCTTGGGTCCATCACCTTGGCCCTCTTTGCAGTGCTCTTTTTTCTTGGATGTGACAACCCAAAGTTTGCAGGTGCCACCCGTCCATATTTCAACAGGTAGGTCACCCCCCTCACCGAAAAGTACGAGTAATCTCTTAGAAATTCCCTTAAGAAATCTGAGACTCCTCAAAAAATCTATTTTTTGTGATAGATTAGATTTTCATTGATCAAAAATTGAGAGTTTCATACAAAAAATCAGGGTCTCTTCTCATTGACAAAAAACTTCTGAAAAAGTCAAAATGTATGCATTTAGCAAATACGTATTTGTATGTACATTATCTAACATGATTTAATCCCCAAAATCATGTTCAACATGTCTGAAGATATATAAGGATAACACATTTTGGATATTTTACAGCTCTGGTCATCAACAGTTTGAAGCCAATCTGACTTCCACATGTAACATAGACTGCGATTGTTCGCATAATGATATAGAGCCCATCTGTGGTATCAATGGTATGACCTACTTCTCTCCTTGCCATGCAGGCTGCAAACAGTTTATTGGAAGTGAAGACTTTGATGACAAAGAAAAACTTACAGTAAGAGGATTTGTTCTTATTCTATCAACTTGGTTGACAATAGTGTTTATCTCAATTAAGTATTCAAAAAAAATTTAATTGCCCATAGAAACTACTAGATGTAATAAATACATGAATACTTATTATTTGTTCCTATCTATTTTAAGTTCAAACAGCACTAGTAAGTCACTGTCCGATACAATGGTAACATGAGATTCTACAACATAAGTTCTACAAACTAATGAGTTCTTACTTTTCAATAAATCAAAAATATGTACTGGATGTATTGATTTTCAGAATTATAGTCATTGCAAGTGCATATCAGATTTGTCAGAAGAGGAAACCACCCCAGAGGTTTTGATGTCACCCCTTGCCAGAAGCGGGCCATGTAAGATGTCCTGTAGAACTCTAGCTCCTTTTATGGTTGTTCTGTTTTTTATGGTTGTAGCTGTGTCAGCCACCCAGATCCCTCTTCTAATGCTCACTATGAGGTACAGAATTTTTGGTATTATTTTGTTATTATGTCAACACCAAAAGTGGTGACATATTGGTATAGTCTCTTTTTTGGATGGTGTTCAATGGATGGGTTCAATAATTGGTGTGGGGTGGTTGGTGTTTGGCGTTCAGTGTTTGTAACAAATGGCAGATGTTGACATTTATTTTCATGGCAACACTTTTTGTGACTGCCAATCAGAGTTGGTGTTTGACATTTATCAAAGGTCCATGTGCAGTATGGAAAGTGATTTTAGACAGTCATATATTTAATCATGAATACTTTCTGGGCATAAATACAGTGGTTTTTACTAAAACAATATGTTTTCTTTCAAGTAAAGTATACCCATGATGAAAAAAATATCAACCGAACAATTTGAAAATTTATGAATAGGGGCCCCATGTCAACATTTTTTTCAAAATGTTGAACCTATTTACTCAGCATTCCCTTTTCAGAAATCGTTAATATAGTGTAGAAGAAACTGTTGATATGTTTAAATTGAGAAAAACAAGATCCTCTTTTCAGAAAATGAACCTTACATTTTTAAAAAGTGCGAAGGTGGGGTCCTAATCCATAATTATTATGCCTTGTTTACTTACTGCATATATTTGATTCAAATCCCCTAATTGTTTGAAACTAGGGTTATGGTACTGAGACTATGGGTATATATCAGTTTTTTAGGGCAACTAATTTATTTCAACTTAATTTTTTCACTCTGGGTCATATCCCTACATTTGAAATTACAAAAACTATTACGGTAAAATTTGACTAAATATGATTATCTTATGTGTCATGATAGGAGGAAATGAAACAAGTCAGGGAAAAGAGTTTCACATTTCACTGCTTCATATTGTTGAACGTTGATGTTACCTAATGTTGATGTAACCTTAATCTGCATTGCTACCATTTGGAATGCTTACTGTTTGTAGGCTGCTAAAATTGAATTAAATTAAAATCAATATTTTCTTGTTTATAGGTCATAATGACCTGTGCATATTTTCATCAAATTGTTTTATTTTAATGTCAATTTTTCCATAATTGAAATATTTCAACCTTTGTACAGAAAATAAGATCAGCAGTCAAAACAAAACACCATCTATTTCTAGATGCAAACTCTAAGATTTGATTGACAGCTCTATTTTTACATCTTCCATATATGGAACGAAATTGATGGCTTGCATACTGACAGATGAAGGTCAAGTTGACTTGGTCACTTATTAAGACAACTTAAAAACTGATTTCTGGCTGAAAATGATCAATTTCTATCTATTTCTCAGCTGAAGCACGTTTCTAGAAAATATGACCTTTCAAACCAGTTTTGGTTATCCAATATCAGATCAATTAGGAACTTTAATGAAAAAATGTGTTTCATAAAAAGGAGAATTTTGATGGATTTCAGGGGCCTATTTTGTCATATAATTTCCTGATATTGGTTGATCATTATACGTAAATTTGCATGGAAGGCATATTTTACAGTTTTTATCAATGTTTAATAAAATGTTTGATAAGTGCTTGAGCAGGAATATGAAGTGAGTATGTGATTCATTTGACAAATTGGGTCATTAATTAAATTCTATAGGTATGGGCCTCATAATCAATTTGCTTTCGATTCCAAATAAGTGATTGTCTTTGAACCTTTCAAGGGACAAATTATCAAATGTGACCTTGATCTTAGGTGACCTTATATTATCCCAGCAAGTGATATTTGAGTATAGAGAAGCCATTCATCCGTTAGTGTGCCCATGTTTCCAATTTGGTCAAATTTTATAAGCTAATACTCCAACAAAAATGCAACTCTCTAATTAAAAATATTCAGGATTGCTTCCACAACTTTATCAATAACATATCTGATCTTCCCAATTTTATGGAAAAATGTGGTTCCTCTACATATGATTATTTATAAGTTTTCATGGTAATGGAGGGCATTTTTCCTAAAATAGAGGATTAAATATTTTGTATCCCCCTGTATAGTGAACTAAATTGTATATTTACAGATCAGTCAATGAAGAGGAAAGATCATTTGCCCTTGGTATGCAGTTTATCATATTTAGATTCTTTGGTAAGTAACATTCTTATTCATCAAGAAATCTTTTCATAAATTCCATGAGATTTTTGCCATCTGCTTTATGTTGTGATTTTAAAATGGTACGAAAGAGCCTTGGGTAGATTTATATTTATGCATTTGATGTTATTAATAGTAAATAGATGGTGCTAGTGTAGTATTGTATTTACTTCATTGTTCCCAGCTAGCTTCCCAAGTTATGTTTAGAGAAACTCTTGATATGTCAATATATACAAACATGATATACATGTATTACATCTTAATTATTGATAATTAATTACATTTTGGATGGATTAAAAGTCCATTATGATAACATGTTATGTTAGAACATTTAGTTAAATCTCTTTATCCGTAATGCTTTCTTTTTATACGAGGACTATTTTTTAATAAATCAGGATATCCTCTGTGATGATATTTCCCGCCTCCAGTGCTTATATTCATAAAAGACGATTGTTATGAATGTCCATATAGAGTGTTGTTGTTCCTGATGTGCGTTGTTATTTTGACGTTGATGTTGACAACCAAGTCTATCTCTTAATTTGCTCATTATTTTTTTCCTCATAAGGCACAGTTAATACTTATTGTATTATATTTCATGCCCTGTGAGGCTACCATTTTGCTATTTGACATCCTATAACCCATTGGGCAATGGGATGTCTATGATATTACTTATCTGGTCGGGAAAGACTATACGTGAATAAAAACAAATCTGTGATCTTGTGTATTTCACTGTATTGGATCAGAAAGTAAAAAAGTTCATCTCATCTAAGATCTCACTGTATTACTACTCTGTCTAAACAACATTATGTTAAAAATGAAACGATGAACTTTCTAATAATGCATCATGTATCAGAGAAAAAGTGAATGTTCTAAGCTACCAGAATTGTTTCGATATTTTTTCGTACTAACCCGTGACTTAATGATCAGTAAAATTGATCAAAGCGTGTATTCAAATGATGATGATATGCTTTTTATAGATTCATTTTCTAGTACATATGATTGCTTATTCTTGATTTACACCATGAATCTACCAGTTTTATCTGAATGGTTTCCATTCATTCTGATGATATATGCTGGTCTGGTTCAAATTAAATCTTGGTTTATTGAGAAAGAATGTATTAAATTGTCACTGATCTTCCCTTGCACTTATATCTTACATATCCTTGTATCTGTTTGACTTAGCTTCTAAAAATATAGCTTCATCTGCATTCTTTAAATTGAAGTGAAATGTCAGAACTCCCTGAGCTGCCAATCAGAGCTTGGAATCACCCGAAGAGTGATTTTTTATGGTCATTTCGTCTGCCATTATCATTGACTCAATAGTGACTAATATCGACACATAATTGAAACATGTTTCTTCCGGCTTGCTAATTGGTTGAGAAAATGTCATTAAAATGGGTTTGAATCCTTGGATGTGATGACCACTGGTAGTGGGGGGAGCTGCTAAACTGTAAAACTGTCTACCCTATTCAGAAGTTAGTTTGTACTAATTTCAATGTCTTAAATTGTACAGATTGATGATGTTTTGATAAGTCCCCTGTTATGTTGGATAGTCCAGATACTAATTATTCAGCATTACACTTAGATTTTATTCCATTTTCTATGAATTTTGTCATATATTACATTAGTTGCACATTACCAGTGAATATGACCTGATCTTTCATGTAAAATTGCAAACATGACTATGATATATTAATGTTATCTTGCCCTGATATTTTTACGATGCATTATTCTAATATAGAAACTGAGCAATTACTTTTGCCAAAAACTAAATTTATTTTGATCATTCTTATCATGGATCAATACTATAATTGGTGTTAAAAACCTCTAAAATGTGTTCCACTTGGGAGGTGTTCCACTTATAGATGTTCATTAAACATTAAGTCACTTGGTCTTGGGACTCTGAAAAGTGTTCCACTAAGAGAGGTGTTCCACTTACAGGTTTAACTGTATGTAATGAAGCAGTTCCATTTAGACAACACTGTATTGATTTGAACCAGAGTTCTCTCAGAAGAATTTATGATTGAGAATGCAGTAGAAATTAAATAAAATTATTATGCTGTAGAAGACAATGTTGCCCTGGAATATGATTGATTTAGATCTAATAGGTTATGATTTCGAGAATTATTGAGATCTCAAGGGGGGTACAATGTAGATAATATGACTATATGATGTCCTCGGGCTTGGGTATGATATTAAGATTTTTTAGATTACATATAAGTATAATCTAGGGTTATGATTTAGATACCATTTCTTTGGGAAATATAATTTATAGATTATATTTTTGATGTCTTGGGTTATGATTTAGATATTATTTATTTGTTCAGATGTAATTGACTTGTGATTGAATATGACATTGGTGATACTATCAATTATCACATGTTTCAGAGCGTGTGATACTGGAAATCTTCCACGAAAGTAAAATTGTATCACCACGAAAGCTGAAACATGTGATGACAATTTTATTAGATCAGATTACTGGAATTGTACAAAGTATGTGATAAAGGTTAATATCGTAGTAAGTAAGCGTGTCTTACTAATATCCTTGTCCTTTTGACCTGATGCTATGCAGGAATCTCAGTAGATGAATTAACAGGCCTATTTGATAGTGTATTTTTATATTTGTATGGGAGAATATATGAGCTAAGGAATTCATTTAATTAACACCGCCTCTTTGATTTAATGGTCATTCTCCTTCCATTTCTTCCCGTGCAACATTTGCTTCTCAGTATTGGTTTTCAACCCAATGAACAAATTTTGGTAGGGATATGTATTTATTACTGAAGCCCTCCATCGTTGACCCATCCGTCCATCTATAATTTGAATACTAGTAGATATATTTTCTTCATATTTTGTGCCAACATGGATATTGGTAAATAGTTTTACTCAAAGATTTTTTTTCAAGATGGCTGCCACTTTAAAAATGGTCCATGGAGTTGCAGATTTTTAGTTTTGTTATATTGAATAAATATAGTATTTCATCATTGTTTTGATCATTTTCATTCAGAGTGTTTAGTAACTCACTTTATATTTATTATACTTCATGTGAAATCTCATGTTAAATTAATAACAATAATGTGATAGTCTCAAGGGGAATAACACCATATTTAATTAGAGTAGCTACTAGTTAATAGATACGTGGTAAACCTGTTTAAAGTGCAGAACAGTGTCTGTTCTGCAAATGACACTAGTAGGTATAATCTAATCGTTTGAGGATATTTACTGGGGAATCAATACGAGCTTAGAGAATTGAGTAATTTGTTTCACAAATTGAATAGTTCTTAAATCTCATGGCTTCATGTTAATGACATTTTATAAGAACGCGTCTTACTTGGAACACCTTTTGAGATCCAAAGGATGTTTTGCTTGGGAATAAACAGGTTCTACTATAATGTCCATTTGTTTAAAATTGTTAACTTGATAGGAAGACTCTTGAAGATTGGACTTTGAAAATCATCCAGTTTTATTTGCAATGATTTCAGTTCATGTTATACTGTAAGCGAATTAGGAGTCTCAGATTTACGATTTGAATATTATAAGAAATTGGAATCCTAGATATGCCACTATTACTATGGACATGGTCATTGTCTGCTATGTGAAAATAGTAGTTTTTATGTCACCACAAAAAAGTTGTGACATGTTGTTATGGTCTCCGTTTTTTGTGACGGTCGTTCGTGTCCAGTGGGTGGCGGTTGGTGGTTGGCAGTTGGTGGTTGGCAGTACTGCATCTGTAACAAATTCTTTTTCAAATCTGACTTTAAGGTTGAACCAATGATATTGTGAGCAACTAGGTGGTGAAATTTTTTCATGTTAATGACTTAATGTTACCAACCTTTTTTTCTCAAAATGTTTTGGAGGCTGTAATTTTTTATGTCAGATGGATTTATAAGAAATGAATAATCAACAATAATATGCATAGAAGTCTAGATATTTCTGTGATTGCGAAATTGACAAATTGTGTGATTTTAAATATGAGCCTAATGCAGCTGTATTTTCTTATATCTTATATCTTATATCATAACCACAGTATTTATTAACTAATATTTTAGTAAGAGGAAGCAATGAGAAAAACTAACTCGCCTTTCTTGCCTAAGATGTAATCTATTAACGTTACTGTACTGTAAAGTAATTGCCTTCACCATATATTATTCAATCCAAGCATTATTCAGATAATCCTCAATCCCTGAGCCAAAATACAAATGTAGGATAAGTTAACTTATTTGGATAAAGATAACTTATTTCTGAAAATACCAATGAGTTATGATGCCACCATGTGGTATTCTATATGTAAGGGTATGTAGTGTATAAATTATAAAATATTAAATCTTTACACAGTAGCACATCATCTCAACTCTTGGGCAAACTCAGTTTGCTGGGTAAGCACTAAGAATCAAATTGTTAACTGTAGCCTGCGTTCACAGTGGTTCTTATCTTTTTATCGTACACAATCTTGAAACAACCGCAGTTTTCAGAACCATGAAATTTTTCAGAAAAAATAAAATTGTGAACTCGGTAAACCATGTTACATATCATGGAGTACTTATGTTATTGAACATAAATTCACTAAAATACATCTCATTTTTGTGGTAGGACTACTTAACCATTTTAGATCAATTTGCAGTTTTGCAGTGTAAGAGACATTTAAAGACAGATTAACAGATTTGTCTGTATGTCATTTTGTGAAACTGGGGGCCATTAACAGAAACTTTATAAAGTTAAAATCCATTGTTCTCTAACTGTGATGTCATTATATCCATGGTTACAACAATTGATTTACGAATTCATAACTTTACGAAGTTACTGTTAATGACCCCCTGGTTACTAACAACAATAAAACATTGTGATACACTCAGTATTTTTTCTGATTTTTGGATCAATTTCATATCTGTTTGCTCATTTCATGTAACCTGTGAGAACCACAATCAGAACGGAGCTGAACTGTAAAATACGATCATCGAACTGAACCAAGGAAATATTTAGTTTTTGGGCCCCAAAATTTTGTAGGTTCTTATAAAAATGGCCTTTTTTGATGTCTTGGGTTATGATTTAGATACCATTTCTTATATAATTTGGCCTTTTTTGGCCAGTTTATCAAAGAATGGGCCTTAATTGTTCAAAGTTTGGACCAATTTGGGGTTTTAGGGGCCCAAAACATTTTTCTGGGCAAGCGCGGAAATTTTTTACCAGACTTAAAATTTGGGCCCTCCCTTGTTAATTTGTAACTTTTCAATCTTTCTGTTAATGGCCCCCTGGTACTTAAATAAAAGAAAGTTCATAAAAAGCTTTTTCATGTTCTTGAAACATATGTTACTGCTTTAATTGAGACCTTGTGTAAAATGCAAAATCTTCTGGATTAAAAGATCCACAAGATCCAATCTCATAATCAAGTAAGGAAAATCTGATATTTTTGTAATGTCACCACATGAGTAGTGACATATTGTTATGGTCTCCATCTTTGTTCTGGATGGTGGTTGGTGTTCACCACTCAGCGGTCCACATCTGTAACAAATGCCAGGTGGTGACATTTTGCATGTTAATGCCTTGTTAAACAGGTACATAGTTGTAATTAATGTTGTCTTAGTTAATATCTTATTTCTTGCCTACAATACGTATTTGATAAGTCATATTTAATGAGTAGTTGTTATTGACATGTTTTTATTAAGTACGTGTATGTATATGTAAACATATATAGTTACTCATCAGAGTAGTCATTATCTACATGTGACTAATAAGTTATATATAGTTTTGAGTCCATTTTATCCACTTCTCTATTGTATAAGGAATGAATAAGAAACTTGTTAAAAAGGCCACAGAATATCATAGTGTTTTGAGATTCTTATTTTACATGTCAATTTTGTCTAGAATATCTATTCATTTTTTATTACAAATATTTCTTCTATATTATTCTGTCAAAAACAATAAATGTCTCGATTAATATAGACTATATTTTTTGAATTGTTTGGTTTCATTATAGTATATTCAACCATTGTTCTTACTAGCTCATTCGGGTGAGCTATTGTATTTTATACGGTGACTGAAAGTGGATTTTATATTTTGGTAGCTATTTCAATCATTTACTACTTTATATATCAAGTTGTTCGAAAGCTTGTTTAGCAAACAAAAAAATACCTTGAGGGTTATGGAGGTCATTGATTTGTGGATGTTGGTGCATTATTTTTATTGTCTTGTTATGTCACCACCAGAGGTGGCAGTGGTTTTATTAGCAGCAGGCAACCAGTGATTTTCACCAGTTTTCACAAAATCGCCTGTTGTTTTTAGGGATTTTACAACTTTTCCCTGTTTAATTTATGATTCCATTAATTTTGCCCGTTGTTTTTCTTTTATTTAGCCTGTTGTGAGAAATTCTAGTGAAACCGCTGAGTCGTGTCATTTTCATTGTCATATTTTTATAGTCTCCAACTTTTTTGACAGTGCTAATGGCAGTTGGTGTTTGGCATTCGTCGGTTGGCAACTGTAACAAATGGCTGGTGGTGACATTTTGTATGTTAGTGTAGTGCTTTGTTTCATTTTTTGCAAGTATATGTATGTGATATTGTGATAAGTCATCTTTTATCATTAACGATCTACATGCACATGCAATAATACATGAAGTGTTAATATAGAAATGTTAGAATTGATGAGATACAGGTAAATACTTATTGTTAATGAGTATCATGTTATAAATATAAATAATTGGTTGCTTCATAAGGGACTGAATATAACAGGGAACATGATGTTGCAAGAATTACTTTGGATGACAATCAAAAAAAGAATATTTTTGAAAAATAGGAAAAATGAAAACATTCTGAATCCAAGATATTCCAATTTACCTAACAAAACTATAAAAAAAAATTAGTACCGTGGGTACTGGGCTCACAAGGTGACAGAAAAAATGGATATAATTTTATGCTGATTTTTTGTTACAAAATTATTTCAAGCCATCTGTCTCTCAGTCAATTAAAATGGCTGAAAAAAAAACGGATATAATTTTTTGCCAATAATTTGTAACAAAATTATTTCATACATCTACTCTTTACAGTGACATGGCTTTTTGCAATGCAAGACACCTGAAATTATTTGTAAAGCTAGGAAATGGGCCAAAATTGAATTTCGCGAGACAAAAATGGCGACCATTTTGAAATCAGGCAAGCTTTTGAACCAGGAGTCATAGGGGAGTTTTTTGTATTGATGTTGAACAAAAATAACTTGAAACTGGAATCCTATCGCATCGACAGAGGTTTTAAGCAAATGGTCCAAAAGAGGATTTCGCGAGACAGATGGACAAATCAGTGTTAACTAAAATGGCTGAAAATAAAAAAAAAACGGATATAATATTTTGCCGATTTTTTGTAACAAAATTATTTCATACAACTACCTTTTACAGTGACATGGCTTTTTACAATGCAGGACAGCTGAAATTATTTGTAAAGCTAGGAAATGGGTCAAAAGTGAATTTCGCGAAACAAGAATGGCAACCATTTTGAAAATAGGCGAGCTTTTGAACCAAGAGTCATAGGAGAGTTTTTTGTATTGATGTTGAACAGAAATAACTTAAAACAGGAATCCTATCGACAGAGGTTTTAAAACGTGCCACAGAAAGTGGATTTCGCGAGTCAGATAGACAAATCAATGTTAACTAAAATGGCTGAAAATAAAAAAATGGATACAATTTTTCGCTGATTTTTTGTAACAAAATTATTTCATATATCTACCCTTTACATTGACATGGATTTTCACAATGTAGGACACCTGAAATTATTTGCAAAGCTAGGAAATGGGCCAAAAGTGAATTTCGCGAGACAAAAATGGTGGCCATTTTGAAAATAGGCGAGCTTTTGAACCAGGAGTCATAGGGGAGTTTTCTGAATTCATGTTGAACAGAAATAACTTAAAACAGGAATCCTATCGACAGAGGTTAGCTAGGAAATGGGCTAAAAGTGAATTTCGCGAGACAAAAGTGACGGCCATTTTGAAAATAGGCGAGCTTTTGAACCAGGAGTCATAGGGGGGTTTTCTGTATTGATGTTGAACAGAAATAACTTAAAACAGGAATCCTATCGACAGAGGTTTTAAAACGTGCAACTATTGTTGACGGACAGACGGACGGACAGACGGACAGACGGACAGACAGACGGACATGTGAGTGATTGCAAAAGCTCACCATGTGAGCTAACCAGTAAGATCAAATGGTCCATCCTGCCGCAATGTCCATCTATGTTTAGTCATCAGTACGTGCTATTGTCATATGAGATACTTTTCTAATTAATTGGCTACTGTATGTATAAGGTAGCGGCCAGGAAGATATTAGCAGGATATGCATGTGCATTCATTTTCTGCCTTTCATTACAATTTCTTAATAAACTTTATTCCAATAATGATTTCATAATCATGATAGTATTCAGCACGTGTTACTAATTATATGAAGATATTGTTTCTGATAGTTAAATGAATGAAGTATAAGGAACATACAGCTGTGGAATAACTGTGTTTACCATTCTTAGTGAAGTCACATTGTTAAAGGTTCCAATTGTAAATTAATCTGAAGAAGTTCTTATTGATGACAGTTCTAATGATTTAAGCCGCGAATGTTTTTGAGAAGAAAGAAATCAATTTCAGTGAATTTTGTATGAGGCTTAAGAATCTTAGCAGCTACTGGTGTTTTACTTGAGTTCATTGCTGAAATTGACATCATTGCATCTGCGTTTCCACGGCAACAGCGTGAGTGGGTTGTACGATGAGACCAATCAGATTATATTATGCTAACCAAGAGGATCAATAGCTGCTGTAGCAAGCCATATTGAAGAAGGCTTAGGAGGATGTGAGAAGTGAATACACCAGGTAAAGATATCTTATTTATTTTTGTATGTAAACATTCATGCATCAAGATTCGTTTATTATTTTTTTACATATATGAATTATACATATCTATTTCATTGTTTAAATAAGATGTAGGCTTCATATGCAACTGTTCAATGTAAAATTGTACACTGTTAAATAATTTGCAAGATGAAAGATAAAAGTCCATCAGAGAATTTCCTTTGGAAGTTTCACATTATAGCCTCGTGTATAAATCAGTGCATGCAATCCTGTCTTACAATGCATATATAGTTTTATTTACTAATAAAACAATAATGTAATCCAGTATTATCAAGCGTTTTGCAGAGTAAGTATGTAATTCCCAGTTGCTCATAGTGTATGCAATGTGAAATGGGGTAATTGGAGAGATTTGTTTTTGTCAGAAGGATTTCTCGGTGTTATTTGAAGATCAACTTATCTTGTCATTTATCCTCTTTGACAGAGTGGCTTTATAATAAGCTACCTATAAACAGGACAAAAGATATTTCTGCAATTGACTTTGCCATGGAAATTGAATTAGTCGATTGATAAGATCAGAGCTTCTGGGTTGAATAATTAATAGGGGTTGTTATTGTTTATGAAATAGTTTTACTTAATATTTTTATTTGTACACTATTTACAAGTGGAACAATCAAACCTTTGAAACACAGGCTTAGTGCAAAAAGTAAAACTTTTGAGATACATAATGCAGATTTGAAATAATCAATAATTTGACAGCTTTTAGTGAATTTATTTTATTGATCTGTTAGTTATCTGAGGTGACAGTTTTGATATATCACAATGTTTTGCTGTGTTTGTTTTACATACATGTATATTAATGGAAATAATTAGATACCACACTAAGAAAACAAAGAAACTCCACTCAACAAACAAAAAGAGTCAATCCATACATCAATCAATCAATCCATCCCTGCAGAGCTATTATCCTTTGCGCCAGTATTTGAAGTGAGGTCCTGATGATGATAATGATGATGATATATCTGCACACTGCAAGGGCCTTCAGCTGTACAGTATACTTATGGTTGAATGCCCTGGAGAATTTAATTCATACCAGTAGTTATAATGTTTAACTCCCCCTTGGCAAAACATGATGACATACATTTATTACCTAACATATAACATGGGAACGTGACACAGGTTATCATAATCTTATGTTTGATCTATTGTATGCAATTTACTTTTTGTTTATAAAAAGATGTGTTTCATCTTTAGAGAACAATAAATTGGAGTAAATTAAAGAGAGAATCAGATCTAACAAGCAGCCTAACAAAAATTGTTTCATTTTTAGAATATTTCTGGCTGGTGTCATTCCTTTTCATGTCTATTTTCTAAAAATCCCCAAAGTGCACATTTTATTTCAGTAAAACTAAAGATTTTTACAATAATGTATTATTGTTTTTCTATAAGAATGGTAACCATTCTTATTATTTGGGGGAATTAAAAAAATGTTCACGCATTTTTGCACTTTGAATCCATTATAACTTCACCAATTTTAACATAACATGAATCTTTTGGGAGATATTGTATTTGAGATTGTTAATTGTAAGGAATAGATTGGAAGGTCAATTGTACATGGTGCTTGTAATTTTGTCACCCCTATCGATCTGATTCTGCCTTTAAGATAAAACAAGGATGGCACTTTTATTAAGAGTTTACATATACTTGTATAATGTCACAGTATCTTTACATATGCAATTTTAAAATGCTTTCAAGTAGTGACCAAGTATGTGCTCGTATTTACAAGAATGACCGGTGTATAAAAATACTGTGCAGTGAAGCAGAATAACTAAACCCAGTGTTATAAATCACATAAATTACCTTCCCATTATAACACATGTTACCTTCCCCATAGCAGTTTCATATACACCAGTTGATTTTTCTCATGAAATTGTTTTTTTCAAGGTTCAAAGAATTAACCCGATGGTTTAACAAATATTGATGAATATGTCAATAAAATGCTGTATTTGTTTTGACCAAAAGCATTGAATTACATTATCAAATATGGTATGTGGGTTGATAATTTCAACAGTTGAAACATTTAGAGACAAGTACAACAATTATTGACATATAGTATACCATAAGATCTACTTTCATAACTAACTGACCATTACATATATTAATGCATTATTGACACCTTTTACCACACAAATTGATTAGAAGTTCTCATTTTACATAAAGTCTAATTAGCCTAAAGCCTAATGTCAAAATTATCTCCTGTTCACCACAAATCTCCAGCTAGCGTAAAGCTGCATTATGCCTGTACTTTGATTGGTTGATGTGGTTGTTTAAGATTTAATGCTTTTATGCTCTTCAGATGTGTATTGTTCCTTATACCTTTACTGAATTTACTCTGAATATGTTCTACTTCCTTCCTATAATGTTTTGTTCCATTTACTACATTCCTCCTAAAGTGCTTCTCTTATATTGAACAACAAAAAACACGTTGAATGGCCTTAAGTGGAAGCAAGGATTCAATATTGCACTGGCTTGCATCTCCGAGATAACAAGAAGCAGACACCCTCACAGTGCAGCTAATCAATTCTTCATAAAATACAGCTGAGCTGAGTCTCTGAAAAACAAGTCTTATTGACTCAATTGTGCTGATTATAAGTACCCTACTAGCCTATCATTCTCAGATTCATCACTATATTCTGATGCTTATTCACTATAATCCCCTAGATCCAGTAAATCTCTGCATAATTTTAAGAAATGTTTATCAGAAAAAAGCACTAAAGCAAACCATACATTACAATCTGCAAAACACTGGGCTAATAGATGTTAAAAAGCATGCCAAATAGAAAATGTATGTCAGAACTCATCAATTCAAAGCAAGTAATGTCATTATCTCAAAAAATGTTAGAAAAGATTTGGTTAGAATTGAAGCAAACTAATTCTAATATTGATACCCCATCATTATGGACGGAAATCATGTTCATCATGGGAAAACTCTCAATTAATTTTGCCATAAAATTTCTGTTATCTTTTTCTCTAGTGCAATTACTTCGTGTTATGCAATATAAATATTTATAAGTTCTTTATCTTCACAGTACAATATGTTGCATATGATATCAATATCTTATCTAAGTTATATGTTTATTGATTTAAGTAATATTAAAGATGTACAGCTTAATAAGTCTCTTACCTTTGTTGGGCTTTGCATGTGACATCAATATCTATAAAGTAATCTGGTTGTTAATTGCAGGGTATGATGCGGGTAGGAGGTCTATATTGAATGGTGATACCGTGTACTATGGAGTGACCCCCTGGAACAAGTCCACACAATGGCTGACAATGATGATGGTGATGCAATAGAGGAACGTGAACAAGCTGACAGCGATTCAGATCCTGCTGATCCCAAATCTCAGGCAAAGTCTTCTAAACCACCTTTGGAAAAATTACGGGAAGTGTATTCTGAATCAGACACCACTGCAAAAGAGTCCCATGAAGCCAAACGTGAAGAGAGATCAAGCTGCCCTGATTACTTTGGCGTCAAATCTTACTTACATAATTTCTATGAAAAGGGTGTGAAGGACCCTGCGATATATGAAGATGAGGATGATTTTCGATATCTGATTCATCCGAATCCTCGTCGCCGACGTTGTACACCTATATGGTGGAAGGTGTTTGTCTGGATTGGAGCTAATCTTCTGGTGTTTGGTGTCATAGGAATCATAGTAGGGTATAGCATCCCACAGCAGCCTGTTATCCTTGACATTGACAAGCAAGGCAATGAAATCATCAACAGAAATGCTATAACATACGACTTCAATTTGGATATATGTAAACTTGTTGGACTCATCATATTCTGCATTGGTGGGTTGACTCTTACAATAGCCCTTATATTCCCCAGCTGTCTTTATAACTACTGCGATGAGGAACGGAAACTAGGATCTGAATCTTTCAAGGTTAGACTCCTAAAGGATGATCTTCCTTCAAAAAGTCCTTTGGACATGGCTATACCTGCAACTGGGAATGAAAAGTTTGTGCAGCCTGAGAGGAAAAAAGAAGAATCTATTGTTACTCCAGAAGGAATAGTGAAAATGACAGATGAGCATGCTATTATTCAAAAGTAATCATTTAAAACAACGGGAGATAATTGAAAACATTGTGAAGAAATTTAGTTTCTTGCTGCTGTTTATTTTTGAGCCACAGATTTTGTAGTGCATAGTAAGGTTAAACACATTTTCATTTTTTCGCCATGAAAATAAACAGACATTTTATTTCCAAGCTTGTGGGATTATTTTTAATACCAAAAGTTACATGTAATTGTATTATCACAGTATTACAACCATTAAATACCACCAATAATAGTTGTTAATGTCACAATTCATATCTCCAAACATTAGTAAATCAAATTAAATGACTATTTGTTGTAATTTACTTGTTAACTGTCTTGTTTATGTTAATTCCATATTGCTATTTATACAATACAATAGTATGTGCTGAAATTATTAAGCTGAAACATCTACAATGAAATCAAAAGGTGTGGACAATCAATGTAAAATAAATCAAAGTGTTCATTTTCTATCTTTGTATTGATTTGACACAACAGGGTGAAGTTAGTTGTTTTAATAATTGGCTCATGTTATTTCAGGTCACAATAACTGTTGTCATGGTTTTGTAATCATTTTAACTAAATCAATAGCTTAATTGATCTTATTTTGTTTTGCAAATCATAAGATTTCCACACCTCATCTTCAATGTTTATACCAAAATAGGGTAATTTATATTTCTTGAAATTATTTTTGTATTCCAAAACATAGTAATTCAGGTCTTATATTTATAGATGCTTCTAAACTGATTTTGAATGATGAATAAAATGAAACTGATATGTTTGAAATAGTTTTTGTTTTCATGTTAGGAAACCTGAGTAGTAGAGTTGTTTCAAACTCGCCGACTTCGACAACAGAGTCCCGACACCGACTTGGTTACTGTAAATCGATACTGTAATTATGTATTTTCAAAGTTTATTTTTGCGGATAAACTGATTACTTACCATGCAATATCTCTAGATAAATTCCAATGCATATTCGACAAATATTCATCATTTAATGGTTTTCAGGTTTATTTCATTTATCATTAGACGATAGACTACACGTTTTACATAAGGTCTAATTTAATTTGCAATTGATTTACAGTAACGGCATTGTTTAAGCCCAGAGCCAATACGCTTCATTCGGTCCTATAACTACGATTTTTTCAAGTAATGCCTTGGTCACATTTGCTCTGATTTTCACGACGGCGCCCGGCCGGTTGAGTATTTTGTTCAAAATTGAATACAATATTGAACAAAACACTCAATCCGCCGGGCGCCACCGATGGATCGGAGCCTATGTGACCCAGGCATAACATGAGACAAGTTTGTGCATCGCTGAGTATTTGGCAGTGACACGTGTCTATGCGTATGCGTTCATATATTTACTTGACTTGTGCACTGGTGTGTCACAACCTTCTTACGATAGTACACGAGTAACATGGCTTCGAAAACTGTAAGCAAAGGTAAGTTACTTGACTAATTAGCAAACAAATATGTACGTTCATATACTTACAGGCATCGTACAGCTTTTTCTAAATATTTCAAAACAGTACGTGTTTACTGTTTCGTTTATTTATTCAATGAAATCAGAAACTACATGTATATCCCACAATATTATAAAAACTACGTACTCTGTGGGGCTTAACATTTTACAGGGTTTGAATGGCACGTTAGCTGTGAAGAATAAACATGACACTGTGCAAATCAAAGCACGCGTTCGCCTTACAGCAGCCTTATTACTGAATTTATATCTGTTTCAGAACCTACGCTCTTGACAAAAAGAAAACGAAAGGTTTTCTTTTCGAAACCAGAAGTTTTACTTTTACTAAGAAGCTACTTGGTGCATCCATGTTGTTGGACAGAAATTGTCGATACCATCAAAGACAATCTCCATCTTCTAACAGAAGACACGTCGAGTTACTACAAACAAACAAGCTATGATCAGCTACAGACCCGTCTTTCTACAAAGCTTGGGAAGTTGGTTACAGGAAAGGAAGTTGTCAAAGATACAGAAATTCAGTAAGAGATTTCAGGGTTTTTTCATTCTTTTTAGTACTATTATTTACTAGACTTTCAAATTTCAGTTTGATTTTGCTTATTTATAAAAATTTTATCCGACTTGTGTTTCAGATTGGCTATTGATGATGTTAAGAAAATGGAAATGAGGTTTGCGGAAAAACCCTGCCCCCAGCCTACCAAAGCGAAGACTCCCAATCCTGTGGAAGCCCCAACCCCAAAGCCTGTAAAAAACCCGACCCCAAAGTCTACAAAAGCCCAGACCCAAGCTGCAACTGCAAGTACGTCAACTCAAGACAAAAACGTCACCATTTTTAATGAGGATGACGATCAGCAGATGGACGATTTCCGGGATAATATCGCACATAATATGTCGAGTGGTCATGATGAGGAACTCGCAGTTCCAACAAAGAAGAAAAAGAAGAAGAAAACAGAGACACTAACTGAACTCCACAGAAGAGTTTTAAAATCCCAAGAAAGATTTCTATTGAAAAAAATGCCCAAAATTATTACAGGACTTGGCATTAGTATTTCCTCCTCAGAATCGTCAGATTAGCTTTACCACACTTGTATGATCATTATTATTATATATTAATAATAAAAACCCAGTGAATACATAACAGAATATTATGTCCCTCTGATTATATAGTCAACAAATATCATTTCGTGTTCCATAGTCGGAAGCTTGAAACAATCCAATTGAATTAGGTAGATATTAACCTCAAAAATAAACTTTGAAAATGCATAATTACAGTATCGATTTACAGTAACCAAGTCGGTGTCGGGACTCTGTTGTCGAAGTCGGCGAGTTTGAAACAACTCTAATATAGAGAGAGACACTGGGGAATACAAAATTTAATAAACAACCAGTGGAATCCACAAAATGTTTTTGTACGAAAAAAGCTAAGAATCATACGACAGCCCGCAGATTATCTTAGAATTGTATTATAGAATTGTTTGTGGCAAAAACTCTATCAAACCATAGGTAAATGGGTAAAAGGTTTAACATTCGATCAACAGCATAATCATACTTGCATCAGTACTTATTGCAGAATGGCAGTCATTGTTTTGAGCAATTGACGACAGCACAGTACCTCTTTATGTATGATTCATACAAATCAGTTCCATTTAACATGAATCATGTTACATTTTAAAAGCTTCTAAAATGGACAGTTTATAGCATTAAAAGACAATCAGCAATCAGTGGTGAACAATCATGAGCACTCAGACATTGTCGTACAAAGCCACATTAGATTTTTTACAGTTTTCAATTCTCATAATAGTACAGTACTATTAATACATGCACTGACATGAAATATACAGTACAAGAAATGTTCACAAAGAAAATGTATAACATGTTAATTTTCCCATTCCTGTAAGTTACTTTAAGAATAAGATTTCAGACACCTTGCAAACAAATTTATCATAGGCCCTTTTGAATATCTGATATTTGTTCGCTACAAAGTAAAAAACGAGATCTTTAATATACAATATCATTTTATGCCTCAATATGTAATATAAGCAGATTTGTTATCAACATCATCTATCATAAGGTAATCAACAATGAGCATAATAAAGTGATAAAGTTTCAGACCACTTAACTTATTGGCATACCAGAATTCATTGCTATTTGATTCACATTTTCTAAATGTCATCATTGTATAGCAAAGTATTTCTACTTCAAATATAATGACCCAATAAGTTTTAATTGTAATTGTATACTTGTTTATTCCACAAATGCCCTAAATCAAAATTTCAAAATACCGAAACCAAGTTTCATATCCTTATTATAGAATTTATTAAAGACACATGTTGTTCTCGTTTGGATTTTGATATTCAGTATATAATGGATGAACATTTTTGAGTCTAATTTTGGTCGGTGATTTGATTCTTATTACAATTGATTGAGTACCTGAGGAAGTCACTGTCAAAGGTATATACTGCTTAGATGTATTGATTTCAGTGCCAATCACTTCTCTTCTAACCTCTGCCAGTGCACTACACCTACACAAGAGCAGTTACTGATTAATCCAAAATGAACTCTACTGGAATATAATTTTCTCAGGATGAAACAGTAGGGTCTAGGGAAATACTGTTTGCTTAAGCCATTGATCATGCTAATTTACAATCGTGATTGCATTTCTCAGAATATTAACATCTCTTCAACACTGAGTCAGTAGGAGTAGAATCTGCAGAATACAGTTTGATGCTGGGAAATTAATCTTTTTATTTTATTGATGCGGGTATCAAGAATGTATCAAAACATACATTTCTCATTCTCATAAAATGCAAGCTATCATAACACCCCTACATATACCTCTGACACTTCATAATCATACATTCTAAAATAATATTGTCTGAGCCTTCTTGTCAAGCTCCTTGAAAGTTTTGTAGAAGTCTGGTTCTTGTTGTTTTTTGTCACTATGTAGGAGGATATTATATTATGCTGGTTGGATGGTCATGATGTGGTCATTATTACGATCATCGTGTATTCTCGTGTCCCTTCTAGGTGTTTTTATGAATACATTTCTGTGTTCATATAGCAAATTTTTCATTTCAGTGTTTCTGAAATATATTTTGGCAGCCATCTTGAATTTTGATTGGCCATTTCGGATGTCTTCAATTTTTCTTGTGGTTGTTTATTAAATAGGTGCTAACTAAGTGTTGTGATCATATCCATTTGCCATTATTGATTCTAAATTTGTAAGTTCATTAAAACTGTAAGTTGATTACTTGTCATCAATTATTAATGTTACACAGCAAAGTATGTCAATTTGGAGTGGTTGCAATTATTCAGCTTACATGCAAATCTAGTATACATCTTTTTATTACATTACTAGGATCTAAGTGGGAGTGGTTGCTGAAATGGCATTGATTGGACCTTCTTTCTGGTAATTCATTTACACAAGCAACAAAACTCAATTACACTACTAGGGTCATCAAAAGTAGAACACAGCAGAAACTATATGCCTTTTGATTAAATAACATTTATGAAAAGCATGTCCGATTAAAGGCTGGATTAAAGCCTACTTTATATCAGTTACTAAATTATTATTAAAATGCACAAAGACCACCACACAAACCCCTGTAAATCATATGAACTATGTTTTAAGTATATACACACTATTTCTCATGAACAATGCTATATATATAATTGTGATCTAGTTAAATAGATGAAATGAGAGAAATCCTTGAAATCATGATAGATCAGATGATTTATATTAAACAACAATATTATCATCAATATTCATATACATGCATGTATGAGTATGATGGATATCATGTTGTAGTTCAACAATACTTTATAATATATGAGGCTTGTTCGAAGTACTGCAATGTGGTTCATGATTTATGGCTATCTGAATGAAGGTAAATAATGGTATATCCACGTTGATTTTACATATAGTAGGAAAAAGGCAAACATTTAATAATTTGACATGGCCTTTTTATTGGATTTAAGTTTATAAAATATACATGCTTAAAGTCCAACAGATAATATTCATTCTTCACTTTTACAGTTTTAGAATTATCTGTACAAGCTATCATTCTTTCTCTTTATTGTATAAAGCATATGAAAAATAAAGGCTTCTATTTTCTAGTTCTCCCTCATTATAAACACACTAATCTTTGTACAACATGAAAATGTCAAGAGCCCTAGTTGGTAGCAGTTTGATGCTTCAGCTGTGGAAAAATAGTGGGAAGATGGATTAATAAAAAATTGATTTCAAAACATATCTGGTTTCTAGGGTTGTGACCTCATCTCTGAGGCTTCAATTGTTTAAGCATGACAACATAGACAGCTAGGCATGCTTGTAGGCAGATTAGTGGATGTTTCAATCAAATATTGTCCAGTTCTTTTTAATCATAAATAGATAAAGTAGATATTAAATAGATAAATTTCAAAGAATTAGTTCTACACAAGATGCTTTGTAATAGCTCTAAGGACTTATTAGGTTTAACATATTATGTATCTCTGTTTAATAAATACAGTTACTATGAAAAATTGTAAAATGTCAAAAACTAATTGGTTATGCAATATTTCACTTTGAATGCGAGAAACTCAGGTCACCATCACCTGAGAATTTCTTGAAGCAGCAGTTTATGATTAGATAGCATCATATCTTGCAGAAAGTCTCAAATTTGCTCCACTCAATTTCCCAAATGAACACCCATTGACATTCTCTACAACTACTTTTGACTGTTGTACAAAATACTGTGCTATGTGGCCATATTATATGCTATGGTGCAAAAGTTCATATTTCTCTATGTTCATCCTCCGATCACAGGGCTTCAAAATCCAGAATATCTTCTTTCTTTTTACACCCTGCTATAAGCAGTTAGCATTTCCCCGATTAAGAACTCGCAATCTGATTGGCTATCGCAACACTGCAACAGAAATCATGTATAAGTCATTGCGCATAATTAGATCACATGATTCAGTTTAATCGGGCGCTTCTAAATTGGTTATACATGTTATAGCAGGGGGAAGAAGGAGGTATGGATTCTGGATACCTGCTTAGGAGGATGCTGTATGTTATGTCCTCATAATATGTGTCCTCATCATGTATATTCAGGCTACAATTTTATCATAATTGGTAACCATTTATTGTCTTGTATTTCCAGGCTACATTCCTGCTCCTATCATGTTTGGTAATGTCATCGACACTACATGCCTCCTATGGCGTAAACAGTGTAACATTAATGGAAACTGCCTGATGTATGACATTGTCAACTTTAGATACAAATATTTAGGTATGTCGAAAACTTTACTTTACTTTAATAGTAATAATTTTTTGTTATTCTAAAAGAGTTTTGTCCCACTATTTTGTTGAACTGCTTCATACAAGAAATTCTTCGCAGTCAGTCATTATACGTACTACCAAGGTTGTCAATATATTCAATAGAAAATCCATTATAAATTAGGTATTTGCATTATGTTTGTTGCTGTAACAGTATGTATTTTTTACAGCCATATGATGTGGCCTTAGGTACTTTATTATTGCAGGTGTAACAGGTGGTCTGAATTTTGTTGCCATGGTGCATGTGGTTTATTATTGCATGTGTAACAGGTGGTCTGAATTTTGTTGCCATGGTATTTTACTTGTGGTTTATTATTGCAGGTGTAACATGTGGCTTGGAGATTGTTGCCATGGTATTGTACATGTGGTTTATTATTGCAGGTGTAACATGTGGCTTGGAGTTTGTAATGCCATGCTGGTGCAGTATGTGCTTTATTATTGTAGGTGTTACAAGTGGCCTGAAGTTTGTTGCCATGGTAGTGTACATGTGGTTTATTATTGCAGGTGTAACATGTGGCTTGGAGTTTGTTGCCATGGTAGTGCAGTTTATGCTTTGTTTTTATAGGTGTTACAGCTGGCCTGAAGTTTGTTGCCATGATGTTCTTCCTCAGTGTCTGGATCATTGTGAAGACACAACTTAAAAATAACTCTGACGGAGCTATGGTAAATAACATGTTATAATTCTCAACCCTGTCCCATGAGGCAATTGGATATGCTGCGCATATGTCTTATTATTATGTCACCACCAAAAGTGGTGACATATTGTTATGGTCTCCGTTTTTTTTGCGACGGCGGTTGGCGTCCGGCGGTTGGAGGTTGGCGTCCGGCGTCTGTAACAATTTCTTACAACTTCCTATAACTTAACAAATACTGTTTAGACTGACTTCAATTTTTTTCTAAATCATCTACATGTTCTCAGAAGTTCAAATCTGACTTTAGATTTGACATTTGACCTTCAATGACCTTCTCAAGGTCAAAAAGGTCTTTTTTCAACTTGCTTCACATTGACTAAATTTTTTTTCAAAATCATCTACATGTTCTCAGAAATTCAAATCTGACTTTAGATTTGACATTTGACCTTCAAATCTGACTTTAGATTTGACATTTGACCTTCAATGACCTTCTCAAGGTCAAAAAAGGTCAAAAAGGTCTGTTTTCAACTTGCTTCAAATTGACTGAATTTTTTTTTCAAAATCATCTACGTGTTCTCAGAAATTCAAATCTGACTTAAGATTTGACTCAAGATTTGACATTTGACCTTCAATGACCTTCTCAAGGTCAAAAAAGGTCTGTTTTCAACTTGCTTCAAATTGACTAAAAAAAATTTTCAAAATCATCTACGTGTTCTCAGAAATTCAAATCTGACTTTAGATTTGACTTAAGATTTGACTTAAGATTTGACATTTGACCTTCAATGACCTTCTCAAAGTCAAAAAAGGTCAAAAAGGTCTTTTTTCAACTTGCTTCAAATTGACTAAATTTTTTTTTCAAAATCATCTACACGTTCTCAGAAATTCAAATCTGACTTTAGATTTGACATTTGACCTTCAATGACCTTCTCAATGTCAAAAAAGGTCAAAAATGTATTTTTTCATCTTGCTTCAAATTGACTAAAAAAAATTTTCAAAATCATCTACATGTTCTCAGAAATTCAAATATGACTTTAGATTTGACTTTAGATTTGACATTTGACCTTCAATGACCTTCTCAAGGTCAAAAAAGGTCAAAAAGGTCTTTTTTCAACTTGCTTCAAATTGACTAAAAAAATTTTTCAAAATCATCTACATGTTCTCAGAAATTCAAATATGACTTTAGATTTGACTTTAGATTTGACATTTGACCTTCAATGACCTTCTCAAGGTCAAAAAAGGTCAAAAAGGTCTTTTTTCAACTTGCTTCAAATTGACCAAATTTGTTTTTTCAAAATCATCTACATCTTTTCAGAAGTTCAAATTTGACTTTACAAGTTCTCAGAAGTTCATATCTGACTTAAGATTTGACCTTTGACCTTCAATGACCTTCTCAAGGTCAAAAAGGTCTTTTTTCAACTTGCTTCAAATTGACTAATTTTTTTTTCAAAATCATCTACATGTTCTCAGAAGTTCTTCTTAAGGTCAAAAGGTATTTTCCAACTTGCTTTAAATTGACCAAATTGTTTGAGGTGGTGACATTTTGTCATGTTAATGCCTTGTAGATTTTGCCAAGATTTTGTTGCACAAAATATAACTACGCACATTCATTGTATGTGTTGCCATAGTATCTAGTCAACCTATGTTCACCATTTTCAATGTTCTCTTGAAATCTCATCTTTAACACAGGCTCATTTATGTTTTTATTTATGTTTTGGTACAAAAAGACAATCAAGGGCAAATTAGTAAACCCCTTTGATCTCATCCATATTTTGCACATCTTGACAAGTTAATATAATATTGAGTTATCATGCCCTAATTATCATCATTCACATTTTATCTATAATTTATCGACAGTGCCATTCATTTCCATATTAGTAAAGAAACATATGGTAATTTGACAATAACACATATATAACATAACATCACACATTACATTAGAGAGGTTTTATACAAGTTATAATGGGCTAAAATATATTCACAATAGCATCTTGTTTTAATTGAACTACTACTGTACACATAAATCTGGTGAATGTGCTGCAGATTGTAAATGTGTTGAGCAAAAAACACTGTGCGAAACTCCTCTAATAATAAGTCTTGTTTTACCCCCTTCCCATAACAGACTCGGTCACATTCTGATTTTGGATGGATGGTGGAGAGGGGAACCAATACTACAAATAAAATACAATATAATCTCATAGTATATATCTTTTCCAGGCTGTTGATAGCACTGCAGGAAATGGCAGGGGACCCGTCTCTGACGCAACCACTCCTACAGCAGAGGAGGATCAGACCCAACAGGCAAACCCTCTGAACCTTACAAAGAAACAGTTGAAATATCTTCACAACAGGCAGTTGAATAGTAGCTCAAATGATGAAGGACGGAGAGAAGTGAGAGACTACAGTAATGATGTATATGGAGGAACCCTTGCGTAGGAAACCATAGTATAAAGGCAAACCCAATTTAAGGCCTGAGAAAATAGCCTTCATAGTCACTGGAAGGATGGTAGAAAACTAGAAAATTTTAGAAGAAGAGTTGGCCTTTCTGTGTCCCTGCTAAAATAGTATTGCTGTGAAATGATTTACATGTCCAAATTAGTTCTAATTACAATGGGGATTGACACATCATATATAAACCAGTAGAAATGAAGCTTTCCTAACCCTACTAGTTACCTGCTTTAGATTTAATACACAATGACCACTGATTATGGGAAAACATATCATCTGAACAAACCATGATATTAGTATTGGACCATTCTGTAGTGTTGATATAATTTTTTTAGTTTTATATTTCCACATGACCCAAACATTTGTATAAGACAAGTGTTATAAATGGTTTGAGCTGTGAAGTCAGGGTGTTCCACATAGCCACTATTCTGTTTAAACTATCAGCATCAATGAACAATGAAATATCAGACAACTGGTTGCAAAACGTATATGTAAGACCCATACAATGTTCAAATCATATTTTATATTTTGTATGGATACATGTATTGTACAGATGTTAGAGTCATGTGCAGTTGTTAACCACTTTGATATTATTTGCTTTTTGTTTTTATACACTGTAAATGACAAGCACTCAAGTGGATTATTTGTTTTGATACATTTGAGAAGCAGTACTGTGCCATGCAACAAAAATACCTGTGATGAAGAAATCAATGTTCAATGAATATAAAGTATTTAAATAGTAAATATTATATATTATTTTGTTAAGTTTGCAAATGGTATAACATGTAGTGTAGTTTTATATGAAATCTTCTTCATCTTAGATAAAAACAAGTTATAAATAGAATCTGATAAAAGAACAGGTGATTTCATTCTGTTTCAGTAATAGGGAAAGCACAGCTAAGACAAAGAGTAGTGTCTCTAAATTAGACTACACAGTTGGTTCTTAAAGTGCAGAAGTGTGATGTAGTAACGTGTGTATTAATTTGTTATTAATCTGTTTTAAATTATTCAAATTCATGAGAATGGAAAAAACAGGATATTATAAATTCCATTTATCCTGAAATAAAGTTGGCACATTTGAACTTTTTAGAAAATAGGCATTAATGAATAGAAGAGCGCGAAAAATATATACCTGTATTAGTATATATTGTTCAAAACTTAAGCCTCTGTCACATTTGCTCTACGGCCAGCATATGGCGGCTGTAACTTCACAAAATTGATATAGATCTACTTCTATAGATCTACATGTACTTCAATAAATCTACTTCGTACTGCTTATCCCTATATTTTATGCTGCATATTTCTCTTGATTTTTGAAAGCTACAGCTGCAAATCCAAATGGTTGCCATAGATCAAATTTGACTGAGCCATTACTCTCAACTCAGCTGTATCCATTGTACTCTACCCCCCCCCCCCTCCCCCTAAAAGTTGAGAAAAGAGAAGGACACTGGTATTGCCAAGTTCATAAGCCTTCTAAATATATGTTTATGTTTTGTACATCATTTCAACTTATTTAACTGCCAAGACTGCTCTCTGTGATAAGTTTTGTAAATAACTACTACTTGTAGTTTACTTGTATAGTCAAATGCAGTAAAATTATATTGTTTTACTTGGTATCATCTTATTATTAATGGTTCCCACAGTGCAACAATATTTAACTGGTCAATTCTCAGGGATGCCCACCAAATATTTATTCACCCTGGAAGATACAAAAATGGATTTAATAATTAAGTTAGAGACATTTAGGGCTGGGACTTTCAACTTAAAGGATGCCCAAATATGGTAATTACGAGTTTCACTTGAGATTATTTTTACATTTGTAATCAAAATAGTTTTTCGTTGATTTTTAAGTATTTTCGTCAAATGAAACTTGACAATTTGATGATTGATTTTCTTTTTATTTACATTTATAAATGTTATTTCTCATTTTGGATTTAACCAAGTGAGTTAATTTGTTTGAAATTACTAGATACTTTTTGGAAAATATTTGAAACCCATTTTATTTTGTTTATGTTTATAGTTTATTGCATGCAGTGTGCTTAACACACGAGTCTGATATTTAAATACCTTTGAGTGATATTATATTTGTTTTTCAGATTCGGTATAGGTATCTACATCTGAGAAAGCAAGAACATGTAAAACATTTTCCTTACATGTACTCTTTCTTTGTGTATAATTTGTACAATATTGAGGTATACATTTACAATATGGCAACCTTGGAATGTTATAGGCTCACATTTAGAGAATGGACATGTACAATATGTATGCTTCCATATACAATATTTGTATGCTTACATATACAATGTGTATGCTACATGTACAATACATGCTTACTGCTGCTGTATTTGTTATCCAGGGGTCCATTTTTGGTATGAGCAATGCCTTGGTCACATTTTCTCCAATTTTCACTACAGCGCCCGGCCAATTGAGTATTTCGTTCAAAATTGAATACAATATTGAACAAAACACTCAATCGGCCGGGCGCCGCCCGATGGATCGGAGAAAATGTGACCCAGGCATAACTTATGATTTCTAGAAACCAATTGAGTCATTGTTTTCTCGAATATGAAAAAATGATCAAATCTAGAGTTGCATTGGTTCCTAAAAAGGAACTCACAGAGTTTATTTAGTATATTATATTTATTTCATCCTCTAAACACAAGGCTACAAAATGTGTTCCTCATTCAGGTATTCTGGATTTTGGAGCCTTGTGATTTGAGGATAATTGATTTTAGTTGACAGTTAATTATAATTATTTATTGGCACGTTGGTGTTTTATACATAGAAGCAAGATAACTGGGTTGAAATGACTCAGAATTGTGATATTCAAAAAGTGCTTTCATTCAATATAATCAAAGTGTTGATGCCACACTGTTCACAAGATGATATTTATACTGCTTGGAGCGAGGACCAGAAATAAATAAAAAAAAAGTTTAAAAAATGTAAAGTTAATGTTATGTTAGTGTGTGTATACTGCCTATTTCACATAATAAACTGCAATTTCAGGTATCAAGCATTATGTCGGTCTGTGTATCTCTCCCTCCATATATAGCTTATAAGCTGTTGATGTAGAGAGGGTTGGATATAAGAGGAAGAGACTTGTTTCTTTAGCTCACTCACTTGTCCTATAGCTCAGTGGTAATCTTTGATAACTCAAACGCCAGTAAACGGATTTTATATGCTGATACTTCAAGACAAGATTTTCAAGATGGTGTCCAGTGTTTGACATCTGTAACAAATGACAGGTGGTAGTTGGTAGTCCTGAAAATCATCTACCTTTTACATGAATATTCAAAAAACAAAACTTCATTCGTTGGTTGTTACAAAATGTATATTTGCATAGCCTCCAAATCCCTGTTGAGTAAATGAATATTACAATTACACTGGTAAACCTTTTGGTATAAATAAGAAATTGATACTCACTGCATATGTTTTTTATGAGAAGACGGCAAAATACCAACAGAAAATACACCAGTGATCTCCACAGGATTTTTTCTCAAGAGGGTGCAAAATTCTCATTTTCACAATTCAGACCAAAATATGCTCAAAATATGCTTCATGATTTTTCTCATTTTCAAGTGGGTGCATTTGGATTTTCAGGTGGGTGCAAGCCTATTTTCAAAATCTCAGGTGGGTGCCGCACCCACTTGCTTTAATGCTGGGGAGATCACTGTACACATTAAATGCCTATTAATTTGGTACATAATATTGCAGAATGCTGAATCCATCATTCAATTAAAATGCAATTTGGTTGAAACAGTTAAAAAACTTCAGAATGTCTCTAATCTTCTATTGTTCTAAAAAACATTGAGTTTAATTCAATTTTCAACTAAGAATTTGTAAGCAGTCAAGCTAAAATACAACATTATGCTAGGACATAGACCACCAAAATTAATTCTCTGTTTAATGTTTCATCTTTTACAGAATTCTCAGTCCAATGACTTCTAATCAGAGAATTAATTTGAGATGGCCTTGACAATATATGTTTGCATACATGACAAGCAACAGTTATACTATACACAATAATAAATAAGAAAAAATAATGCTTACACCATTATTCACATATAACATTAAAAAACAGACAGATTTAATTTTGGCTCTTTAAATTTCACATTTTTTAAATAAAATAAAATAAAAGTGAATCTAAAATGTTTGCGAAAATCAAAATAGATTTATTGTCAATAATATGAATTTACACAATTTAAAATTTAACATGTGCTATTTATAAATGACAAATAAAGATGGACGTAAATGTACATTATAATTCTGATCCCAAGACTACAAAGTGAAATAAGTGTCTACATGTACATGCATATATACAAGTTTTATTATTTACATATATATATTTTAACATTTTAAAGCACCTTTTGAAATCAAATGTATCTCGCCAGCTCAGAAATAAGATGCCATAATGGTGTTCAATATCCAACAAGGACATCTTAACATTCAAGCTACAGAAGCTCTACCGAAGCTCTTCCTTTTTTAGCTCTTCCAAATATCCAACTCTTCAAAGTATTCCTCAATAATGAGAAAACTGCGCTGTCTATCAATTTTCCCATATGCCATATTTTAGATGTGAAAGCAATAAGGATAAAGTGTCACATTACCATCCATAATAATTCTCAGACTTAATGCGTAACATTAGTGGGATACAACGAATAACACTAAATATATGCTACATGTATCTGAAGACTCATTTCCCAAAAGATATTCTCTCTGATTTAAACATTCAACTGATCTTTTTATTGCAATGGTACAATTTATTGTCTGTAAAACTTTTGATATCAAGGCCCCCAATACTCAACTCACACCTGTACAGTCGATTCAATTCCCCTGTGCCCCCTCCCCCTGAACAATTCACGGGGCATAGAACATTGGTGATGTAACACTTTCCTGCACATTGCCTATCTTTAGCTTTTGAAAATGTAAAAGCAGACTACGTCAAGCTAGCAAATTATTTTTTTATATATAGCATGCTCGCAACAATGATCAATGCAATAGCCTTAAGCTGGGAAATTCAAGAAAAATTAACTGCTTTGATCATATTGAAGTCGTTAAATGCTGGTGACTGCTTGACTTCACCATTGAAAAACATAATATCAAAAGATATTGACAATTTATTTGAGCAACACTAGAAATGGTGTATTCTAGTGATCAGCAGGTACAATGGATGGCATTATTGTCAAAAACAATTGTATCAAAAAGGCACATGTTGATGATATCTCGATATCTTCTATTTGACTAGAGGTATATTTCAACTTGAGTTCAAGAACAGACTCAAACAAACTTTCTTTCTTATCTGTCTTAAAACACTCTTAATCTCTGGTGTATCTACAGTAAAACACAGAATTGCACCAAGTGAGAATTTCAATCCCATGATTCATTAACCCTAAGCTAGTAATGACTTCTGGGAAAGCTCCACCTCTTGTCAATAATTGTAATCAAACGTAACTGAAGGAAAACACTTATATCAATCAACATAATGAATACTTTGTCTTTTATCCAATAGACCCAGAGTATATATGAGTGAATAACATTGAACAACAGTGTATTTCAAATCTAAATGATTTGCTTGGTGTTTTAAATAAACAATTTTTACAAATCAAGCATTTCGAGCATTCATGCTCATATTTACATTATCCCTTTTACCATATGATAATAATAATATACATCATAAGATTTTAATAAAATGATATAATAATATTTGCAATGAATAAGTTGTATCTGGTTTTAGTCATACCCTAACCTTCTTTTACTGCACAATCACAGACCATATCATTCTAGAGCATATCACTTCAGACCATATCTCAATGTTAATTTCACGTTTGATACCAGAGCCACAGCTATTTGTAAACATATCTGATTTTTTTTTAATTTTCAAAAAGTAATTGTGCATTCTTAGCAGTGATTTATTAAGGCAATTTCTATAAATATTTGTATGTTCTGAAACGTTTCAGCAGTGTAACTTACATATGTCTGTGTGTGTGTGTGTGTGTTCAACAACGCAATGCGATATATCAATATTTCATGTTGTGCATTCAATACAGTAAAACCTGTATCAGTGAACACCTTTTTATAGTGAGATATTTATTCCTATTTCTAAGGAAATGGATGTTCTGTGGACTCCTGTGTCAACAGGTGTTCCCTTCAGACAGGTTTTACTGTATTGTGATTTGAATATGAGCCAAAAATGACCCTTGTAATCAATGTGTCCGTGTTTAGGGCCCCGTTCTTTCATATTGGTCTCTTTTGAACATTGATTTAGGATTCCAGGTCTAAATCAAATGTCTTTCTTTTAACAGAGCCCTTTTCTTTTGATAGAGCCCATTCTTCAACCAGAGCCTTCTCTCCTAATAGAGCCTTCACATCAAGAAGAGCCCAGTCATCTTGCATCATATTTATAGCTGCTCATCATTGATTGTGCTACCTCCTAATTGGGCTGAAAGAGATGAATATAACAATCATATTTCATGACTCAATACAAAATGTACAAAATGAAATGCAAATAAAATGCATATCTTTGTCCTGTAAAACCATTTTGATAATGCAAGCTTACTACATGTACTAGATGGTTCTCATTCATACTGTTAAAACAGTGTATTCCTTCAGTCATAAGAAATATCTTGACGGATCAAGATGTGACTCATTAGTATTGTTACAGAATAGGAGGGGAGGGAAGTCTTTAATTTAGAAAGAGGAGAAACCAATGAGGACAGAAAGTAATTAAGTACTTGATCACATTGGTCACATTTCCAGAATGATTTGAGGACAAAGGATGTAGGAGACAAGATTACACACAGATTAATGCATCACAGTATTATCAAATCAAATCAAACCAAATAATCTCAAAATTAGAATCTTTTTTTCTATTATTTGCAAAATGCACGTGCAACATTTATTCTACTTTAGATGTATTCTATTTCAAATGACTCTCAATTCTATAAATCACAGTTAAGAATATAAACTATGCTAATGAATTTGAGTTAGTAATATTGCATTTGATAAAACCTCATGGGATAGCATATTTATTGAATATACATGCACAGTATGAAATATTCTAGTTCTACAGTGTATAACATGTCAAATGTTGCATCACATACAAGATGATACGAGTACACTAAATGTGCTGAATAAGGATCATTAAGGATTCTCCTTTTACATTTTATATAGCACATTCAATTCATATATGAAACCATCTTATTTTCTCAATCACAGAAATAATATCATATCAAAGTTGGGAATTATATCTAAGACCTTCAAAAACATCACGACCATGAGGCTTTATGTGCAATATATATGTTGTATTATTTCATAATGATGAGTACATGCATACCTGGGAGAAGGTGGCATCTTGCGTCTTTTGAAGGCCTAAAGTGAAAAGACAAACACATACCGTAAGTTCCATGCAGGCCACATGCATATTATAACATTCCAAATGGTTATTAATTCATTTATTTAAAATGCATACTAGTCATCTATCATTCATTTTATTAGTTATCAATACATTTTCAATACAAGCTTTCTATTTACATGTAATGCTATATAATAATTTGGTATCACATTACAACAAATCTAGCTAAAACATTCCAAATAAAAATGGTATTTTTGATGGATCTAATCATCTACACAGTGCGTTCATCCAAGCATGTGACACTGAAGCAAAATAAATGAAATGTGAAAATAAATGTGAAAATGTGAAAACAAATGTGAAGGGTTTTTTGTCTCCAAACACCTCTGTTTAGAACGGACAGCAAAACATATACTGTACAAGCACAATTCTACAATAATACAAAATGAATGGCATCTAAAACAGAACTAAAAATAATTCATAACAAAAAAAGAAACTACGACAGATGAACTTAATAGTGTTGGTAGGCAGATTACAGTGTACTGGTACCAAACTTTTTAGGACCCTATTTCAGGACACTCTAATATTATTCCAACAAAAAATGATACAATCCAAATGAAAAAATTATAATACGATTAAGCTGGTTACAACATTTATTACTGAAAATGCTGGTCACAATATTCATCATAAAATGGTGGTCCTAATTTTGACAATCAAAATGGTTGTTGCAATATTTATCGTTAATGGGTGGTCATAATATTTATCATCATAAGGGTGGTTATAATATTTACCATCAAAAGGGTGGTCATAATATCAACCATGGAAAGGGTGGTCACAAAATTAAACCTGGATCACAACATAGAACTCTCAAATACTCACTCTACAATTCAGTTTCTAGGACAGGGTCCTGTGCAGCACAAGTGAACAATAAACAGAGTGAGAACAATTAAACTGAGAGAATTGATGAAGTAAACAGGAGGGTCAAGGATATTGGGAACATACAATACACAAAGGCCATATAAAAGAGGAACCAACGGATGACATGGCTGATGAGGCATATGCATGAGGGGACATGAGGGGAAACAGGGCATAGAAATAAGGAACCAAGGGAACTGTTATACATGATACTTGGGCATATAAATGAGTTACTGAAAGAACTTATGGGGCAAAAAGATGCACATAATAGTATAGTTTCCATATAGCTTTTGAAATCTCGCTAAATCTCGTTTTTCGTGAGATTTTAAGAGACTTGCATATTAGACCTCTAATGACTTACATTACCTTCTTTTAAATGGTATATTTGAATTCAGTGGAATGTTTTCTCCTAAAATAGCTTTGATTTACACAGTTATGTAATTTGAATAATTTTCTATGACAATTTAAAAAAAGTTGGGCCAAATGTCCATAGATGCAATGCTAAAATTCTTTAAAACCGTGGATTATTTGTATGTCAATCAACATTAGCATGTTTAATCACAACATGTTCATAAACAGGGTCATCATGTGGTATATCATTCAAGTTTTATACAGATTCAACAAACACACTCTGCACCCTATGCAGACAGAGCCTGTGGGAAATATTGGGTGCGGCGCAAATGAGCGGAGGGTGCGGAGCTAACGGTCATTTTTGAATTTAAAATTGGGATATTTCTGAAACTAAGCCGTTTTGGGACTTCAAATATACCAAGATATGTGTATTTGACACCAAATATCAATAAAATTGTGAAAATAGTAGTGCAATTCATTTTATAGCGACGCAGTATGCCTTAAATATTTCCCAGACCTATATATTTTGAGACTATCCTTTTAATACTGCGTCCCCAGCATTCATAAAAAATGGTGTTCAAGATACACTACCCATGCAAATTATTTTTGCATCTTGGAAGCCAGGCAATATCTGTGTGATTTTATAAAAATTCGGAAATGTTCTTCAGATATGAGCCCCCTCTAAATATTGGGTGCGGAGCTACGTTTATAGCTCCACAAACGTAGCTCCGCACCCAATATTTAGAGGGGGCTCATATCTGAAGAACATTTCCGAATTTTTATAAAATCACACAGATACTGCCTGGGTTCCAAGATGCAAAAATAATTTGTATAGATAGTGTACCTTGAACACCATTTTTTATGAATGCTGGGGACTCAGTATTAACAGGATAATTTCAAAATATATAGGTCTGGGAAAGTTTTAAGGCACACTGCGTTGCTATAGAATGAATTGCGCTACTATTTTCACAATTGTATTGATATTTGGTGTCAAATACACATATCTTGGTATATTTGAAGTCCGAAAACGGCTTAGTTTCAGAAATATCCCAAATTTAAATTCAAAAATGACCGTTAGCTCCGCACCCTCCGCTCATTTGCTCCGCACCCAATATTTCCCACAGGCTCTGTCTGCATAGGGTGCTCTGATAAATCATGAAATTAAGCCACTTTTCCAAGATTTTAGCATGTAAGTGAATGGAGCTCTAGCCAGAGTTAAAAGCTGAATAAAAGATGGCAGCACGAGATTTCATTGATTTTTCTGCTATTTAGAAACTATCCTATTGAGTAACTGATGATAGAAATTTCAGTTCTGAGAGCAATATGATGTTGTATAACTTTATCACATTACAGTAGTTCCTGATTGAGATGAATTTTCTTGTTTCCACGTTGAAGTATTCCAGCATTTATAGGCATTTGAAAAGCCAACAATGTTAAGACATCTTGCTGTATATTCTTGATTCATTTCAAAGCTCTCTGCTTTACATAAATACATATACATGTATAGAAATATGTTATTCAAATTAAATATGATATGTTTTAATAGCATGATGCTCCTACATTGTTGAGGACTAACCACCTCCCGCATACAGCAAAGTTAGTAATGAAAAAATTGCGTTTTGTTATATTTTATTGAACATTTAAGCGATTGGATATAAACAGTCACCCAAATTATATCTCCACTGCTTGAAGTTGGCCCACTATTGAGGCTTATGACGAGTTGAACCTGACGAAGTTGAGCTCATTGAAGTATAACGCCTTGAGCTCATTGGGCTAGAGCTCATTGAACTGGAGGTCGCCGAGGAGCTTCCCATGGGGCTTGAGCTCAGTATAGACTTGTAAGCAGACCTAAATGAGCTTGAGCCTGTGGTTGGTTCCTTACTTGATCTTCTAACTGACCTAGGGCTCATTGAACTTGAACTGGATAAGGATCTGTAGCCAGAACTCATTGAGCTTGAACCCATAGATGATTCATTCAGTGAACTTGGGCCCATTGAGCTTGAGCTCATCATTGACTGATATCCAGAACCTGAACCTAGGTTTGAACTCAGCAATGATTTGTACCCAGATTTCAATGAGCTTGAGCCACTGGATGAACCCAATGAGCTGCTAAATCGACCAACTGAGCTTGAGCCACTAGATTGACCAAATGAGCCTGAGCCACTTGATTGCCCAAATGAACTTGCACCGCTAGATTGGCCAAATGAGCTTGAGCCACTTGATTGGCCAAATGAGCTTGAGCCACTAGACTGACCCAATGAGCTTGAGCCACTAGATTTACTCATTAAGCTTGAGCCACTAGATTGCCCAAATGAGCTTGAGCCTCCAGATTGACCCAATGAGCTTGAGCCGCTAGATTGCCCAAATGACCTTGAGCCTCCAGATTGACCCAATGAGCTTGAGCCGCTAGATTGCCCAAATGAGCTTGAGCCACCGGATTGACCCAATGAGCTTGAGCCACTAGATGTTTCATGTTTTTCACTCAATGAGCTCAATTGAACAGATTCACCATGTTGTTGATTCACAGAGCTGGAGCTAGTTTGCTAAAAGAAATACAGAACACCCTGTATTAGTGAAGACAGGTTTCTTCAAAAGTATACCAGTATAGAGAATTAGTAAAAGCTCATTTGTCATTTCAATTTTAACTGATTTCAAGATAAGACCTCAAATTTTTGGCCATGCTTTTAAAATTTACACAATTTTCCATGCATTAACTCCAAGAAAATCACTCTAATTGGCAAATCAGTGTTTTTAGCTCTATTAGTTGCACCCTCATTCTTTATCCACAGCTTTTAATACCGACAACAATACATTTTGCGCATGATTTGTAATTAAATTTGAAAACTGTCAAAATGTATGAAACCTGAGACCGTATCCCAGTGAAAGCCGATATGTACATCCATGCCAACTTAACTTCCTTCCCTTATAAAACGTTCATGTTTGTAAAACAAAGTTCAATGTGAATTCACTTTACTGAACATGAGAGACTCTACAAGGGATTTACAATCTATCTTACTAACTACTTATGTTTCTTCTTTGACTCCTGTAAAATTAGCGGATTAAATCAGGCAAAAAATTCAGACACTCGACAAATATATCGATTATTATAAAATGTAGTAGGTGGTTAGCATTGATTTAATTCAACTTATATTTTTGCTATCAACAAACAATGCGACCAATTGAAACATCACAATTTGTTATAACGTTATCAACTTCAATTATGTTTGAACTGGTAGGTGATACATACCGGTGATCCTTTTGATCGATAGTTGACATGTGCATAAATTAGAACACCAATATCTCTGTGGTTGGCCTCCATCGCTATTGACAATGCTGTGCTACCATCCTGCAGATAAATATCAAAATATTTATTTATAAAAAATGACACATAGCATAAATATAGCATAAATATACATTGGCATTCACTTGCAAAATGTCACCACCTACTATTTGTTACAGACACCAAACACCAACTGCCATTCCCCCGAATGCCAAACACCAAACACTGTCCACAAAAAGAAGTGATGACATAATAAAAGGAACAGTCAGTCTACACAGTTTCAAGAAATAATCGTTAAGGTTTGAAGGTATTCATATTATATATTCTAGGGTAGGGCTGAAGTATTTGATGATTGACCCTGATAGCAATGACTTATTAATAATATATGGGCCAATCACCCAACCTTCATTTTTACTGCGCACTGGACATACAATACATGTAGTTAGAAATACAATAACATTGTTCATACAATCACATTACATTACTTGAAATTTCACCCTTTCTTGTAACTGAATTGAAATTCTAAGCTTTCCTGTTGATGAAATCAACAAATGCAACATGAGAATTATTAAATTATTAAACACTGAAAAACAAGTTATATGGTGGAATACAAAAAAATGCTTAATCTGAGCTACAGCAGTCTTTATCTATAATAATGGCATGACAGGTATCCATGATGAGAAGAAAAAAGTGAAAACAAAAACAAAATATAGCAACACTACAAAGCAAACTGTGAAGATCTTATCAACAAGCAGTCTTGAAAATCAGATAACAACAGCATTGTGAAAAATTAATGTAAAAAAATGAACGATGAAACAAAATTAAATTGCATGCACACCTTATTGTTAAAGATTTTATTTCCAAATGCCTCTTTGATATGCCTTATGTACAATACCTCCAGTTCTTAGCATCTAAATCGATCAGAGTCCAATTATGACAAATACAATAATTGTGAAAGAACTATAATAAAGGCCTATCTGTACATATCCAATATATAAACTTTATAACAGTTTATTCCTATATCTTTACCCATAACAGAAAAGGGAATAGTACAAAAGATTTAAACAAAGAAAATATAAATAGCTTATTTCAGATACTATTACATGCCTAGCTCCCAGGCAAGCCAAGCAGGATGTTCCAGTAACCATATTTACTGGGCCCTCCTTTTTAACACTTCCCTTCAATGGAGGATTTTCCCATGAACCCCTGCACTTGAACTATTGCACTGAAGACCCTAACCAATGGAGGAAGTGTTTTCCCAGGTAACCTTCAGCATATGTGCAGCAGCAGCTATAAATCAGGCTAAGGACACTTACAGGGTCAGATTACAGCATGTCACCAAATACAGGATGTCACAAGAGCAGCGTACACAGATTACAGGGTGGTACAGGTACAGAGTGTCCATAAGTCAGGGCAGATGACCACTTAGTCACTTTGCTAATCTTTAGCATGAGTGGCATACAGGGTGATACAGTAAGGCAAGTTAAAGTTCCAAGTTTGGGAATTATGCCCAATAAGTGCCAAGTGAACATAATTTCCCCATATCAACATCTAACTTTTGTTTTTTGTAACACTTTTCTCTAATTTCAGCATTCAAGTTACAAAAATGAAACTTTTTCCAACATGAAATGCAGAAATATCACCTTTAATGTTCAAAAGATGGTGCAGCATCATACCACAGAAAACCATCTGCTTTAAGTACCCAATATATGTTTGATTTATAAGGCATGTATCTTTATAAATCATAGAAGGGTAACATAAATTACCTATAAATTGAAATAACACACAAAACATTTCAAAATAAACTTCATCAAATGCAACCAATTTCGTGTACACATGTTCTTCAGTTAACCAATAACGCTAAAGTTCATTTCCACACAAATATCTTAAAATTATCAATGAGAATGGTGTACCATCAAAATAAAATCAATCCAAAACTTATTGTACCAATCTAAAGCATACATCAGAAAAACAACTAGAAATGGAACGCCATTTTTAATAATCACAAAATAATCTCAAAAAATGTTTTTAAATTCAGAGTAAAACTGTACACAAGGGTCACTGCAAACAAATGCGAAGCAAAACTTACTAGTACATTGACATGTCTCCACTCCTTGTTGATGATATGATTCGTAATTTCTACTTGCATTGCTCAAAATATGGTTAGTACATAGAATAGATTTCTACATTACTAAGCACTATAATCTTTGGTTATGACATAAAACATATATTATTGCTTACAGACAGACAGACAGACAGACAATAGCTATACTGCATTTTAACTAACTTTTGACTTTTTGGAAAATGTGTGCCACAAGCCTTTAAGAGTTGATATGTAGAACAAATGTTTTAATTTTTCACATGTATTTTGAGTCAACTTATTACAGGTGAAACATTAGAACATTCTTAGGTCACTTCAAAACTAAACTATATAATCACTAATTCAATTTTTCACCTTGTTTTGCATACAAAATTATATTAACAAGTAGTAATACAATTTTTGTACCAAATTTGATGAACATATTTACACACTCATGTATGATCTACAAGGACGCAAGCATGCTGTTAAGTGTTTGAATTTCTATACAACATCAGTTGACATACCATATCAAATTAATTAATTAATCAGTTTAATCAATACATGAATATAATTATGATATTATTTGAGTTATATGCTGCCATAATTATAACACTAATTAAAGCTTTTTTGCTCGGAGCATTCTACATTTTTCAGTTAAATCAAAAATTATCAACAATTCATTTTGTTGTTCTTTCTTTTATCAGACCTGACACAAACTCTGCTGCTTGACTGGTGTAATCCAGATTTTACATTGATAATCTAGCTTATAATCTTACTTAACAATAACAGTTACAGATTCTACTCCACTGCAATTTTCTTACAAAAATATACTTTACACTCGAGCATTGTAATGTTAAATTGTGAGACAAATTAAAAATCACAGAAACTAAAATGTGAAAATTCATCTTTGGCAAAATTATTAATAAATTAATCAACTGTATATGAATAAAATAATAAAGTATTCTTAAAGCTACATATAAAAATAAATACTTATCTTACAAATAAAATTTTAAAGGATCTTGTTTTCGGCACAGAGTGTGGAATATTTATGAGGAGAAATATACACAGAAAACAGACTTAATTTTATCTTAATTTTTCATCTCAAATATATTGTATTAAAATCCATCAACGTAAATGCACCAGCACATATGTATAAGCAACATATCCCAGCATTTCGCATGTTACCTAAACAAGACCCTTTAATAACACAAATTACTTTTGATTAGTTCACAGAGACAATTAATTTTTACTTTTATTGAGCAGAGGGTAAAGGGTAAAATATACAAATCAAGGTATACAGCTATATATATTTACATTAGAAGTCAAAATACTAAAAATGAAAAATGAAATAGAGTGTTGATCTTATCAATCTGTTGAAAAGAATGAGTAGATCTCGTCCATGATTGAATAATAAAGATTCAAGAGAAAGAAAATGTACAACAGAAAATACAGAAACATTGTGGTTGTTGCAGGATTATGGGGGCCCAGGGTTGGAACGTCAAAACTTTCGGGAAACACAGACACCATTGAAGAGGAGTTTATGGGTGGAGGATTTTCTCTATGGGGATTTGAGGTAGCTGGTCTGCTTTTGATTATTTTTGCTCTCGTCACGTTAACGCTGCCTTCTTCAGTTGATCCATTTTGATCAATTTTTGGAGTTTGTGGACTTGTTTCCTCAAAACTCTCAATGATACACACATCTGTCTTCTTTTTAGATGTGTCTTCTTTATCATCATCTTTCTCAATTATTTCCTGGACATCTTTATATTTTTCAACATCACCTCTAACCTGTTCATATTCTGCTTGAAGGTCAGCCAGACCAAAATGGAAATCAGTCTCCTCAAACTTGACATCTAAAGCATCTGCATAAACATCAGCACTATCACTAAGATCTGCTATATCATTTGTTTCATCATCGCTATCAGCGTCATTGATGTCTTCATATTCATTCAAAGTTTCATTAGCTCTTATTCCGTATGGCACATCATGTGTATGTAGGTCTTCAACTTGACCTTCAGTTTCATCCACCTCAGTGGTGAGATCATCTTCAACAGTAAGGACCTCATCTTCTAGAATAGTATCAAGTTCATGGTGGTTCTCTTCACATTGATTAATGAACTCCTCAATTTGTTCAAACTCATATGATCCACTTGATCTGCTACTTGAATCAGAGTCAGGCGTTCCAGTACTCTCTTCAAAGGTGTCTTCTAGAGTATAAGTTAAGTCTTTGTATGCTTTCTTTGTGACCTTTGCATATGGATCTGCATCAAATGGGTCTTCATCTTGGTCCATATGTGTTTCATTAGTGTCATCATATGTTTCAAGTGTAATAAATCCACTATCCATCTCTTCATATTCTACTGATACATTACTACTTGCATCAGGATGATTTTCTTCATCAGTATAGTCCATCTCCTCTTCTGGATCCATTGTCAGTTCAAAGTCTTCACTCAACATATCAGTTTGATCTGTTGGTTCAAATGCAATATTTCTTTCCAGGTTTTGGTTATCATTCTCTTCCAAAGATAACAGGTTTGGAGTGTCAGTGTCATCCAAAATTGCATCAGCTTGATCCTTTTCATTTTTGGATTCAGTCACTTTAGTTTCCTGATTACCTTTGAGCTTATGATGACCCGAATCGAGTATATGTGATCTCTGTTCAGGGCTAAGACTGATATGATACTCCTGAGAATGGGGCAATACCCCAGACTCCCTAAGCCCATTGAACTCTTCACGCGACAACTTATCATGATTTTCAGATTCATCAATAATGACATTGCTCTCAGATTCACCGACAGCAACAGCAAAGTCACTGTTTGATTCATTTGAAGAAATATTATATTCTGTATCAGCTATATTTTCTACTTCTTGAGTGTTAAGAGTGCTATTAAGCATGGTGCCATTGATTACTATGTTAGGTTCTCTAGCATGCTCATTAGGAATTGCACTTTCTGTACATGAAGGATTAACTGTTAGAGAAGTATTAGAATCAGACTGGATTAGATCATTCTCAGATTGACCATGCATTTCAAGAAGTTGTGACAAAGATGGCTTGGGCACACTTACATTATCAGTTAGGGTAGCGTCACAATGAGGGTGAGCAAGCAACAATTTGACGATTTCAGCGTGGCCATGTTCGCTGGCACACATCAATGCAGTAGAGCCATCTTCATCTTTAGCGTTGATGTCAGCACCACATTGCATCAGGAGTGACACAGTGTCTGTTCGTCCATGACTCACAGCCAACATGAGGGCAGTCTGGCCAGCCTAGATACACAGAAGACATGTCGGATATTATAAGGATTGCAAGTACAGTAAAGTGGACAATACAATCAATATTTCAGTTACATAAAATGTATACGAACCATAATAAAACACATTATTTTAGATCTTCATTCATTTTCAATATTCTGTATGATAAAAATATACATGATCATTATCAGAGCATTAATGTTTACTAATAACAGGTATACCAGTCTTCAATACATTGAAATGTGATTTACCTAATGCGTAGTTGTTTCAAATACGCAATAATCCATGTTTAAACTACTATTTTCAATGTAGTATACAGAATACAGATGTTTCCACCCACCTGTGAAGCCCTGGCATTGACATCCCCAGCCTCAAAGAGATGCCTTACAACAGTTTTCTGCAGCTCTGTTTGTATAACAGCCAATGAGGCCAGCATGATTGCGGTGTAACCTGCCTTGTTTGGCTTATTCACGTTACACAAACCTGTGTCCAAAAGCAAGGTGACGATCTCAAAATTGCAGTGAGATACTGCATAGTGTATTGCTGTGTTCCCCTACAAAGTAAATGCAGAATCATGTACATGTACATATGTTTTGTGGCTTGTAGCTAAAATTCATCATTTACATTCAATGTGTTTACAAAACTATTAAATGTAGATATCAGTAATCTGGTAGGTCTAACATAACAAATATTCAGGTTACTTATACAAATGCAAAACCTTTCTCGTATCTACCTCTATATGCTTTCTATCAATACACTTACGTTAGCATCAGCCATATTGACCACCTTATCTAGCAGGGACTTTGAGTACTCGCTAAAACAGGATAAAAAGTCCTCTACCATGGAGGGGTTCGAAAGTTTGTGACTGGAGGCCTTGAACCACTCTTGCTGTATAGCATTCAAACTGGAATTCTGAAATCATATTCAACATTAAGATTCAATAAATAAATACATGCCCACATGCCCACACTTTATTCTAGTCTTACTACAAAAGCTACAAGCCCTTGTGAGCCCCCCTCCCACCTAAACACCTCCCAACAAGTGTGAGAAGGTGTGTAGTCAAGTAGTGGGAGGGGGTCACAGTGGTTTATACTTATAGCTGGACTAACTTTGTTCATTTGATTTTATGAACTCTTTGAACTCTTGACCATCTCACTGGAACTGAAGTTGTGGTTTGCTATTTTTCACTAAATTGTGTTTTAAACATACAGCAAACACTAGTAAAGGCTCTATAAGAAACATACAGGCAATTATGCAATGTTGATCTTTTATTTGGCCTGGGTCTAGCTTATTCAGACTCATAATGTTTTTGTAAATAGCATTCACTAAGGGTTCATAGCACAATCATGAACTGTTCAATTCCAAAGTATTTATATGCCATATCTGGTGTTCTCTCCCCATAATTTGAGGAAATGATGAACAGTATGCTTATATGAGGTCTTTTAAACTACCATTGAGGCAAACATTTGTTATTGCTAAGACTTACCAGTTCCTTAGTGGTAACATTAGTGGAGTCTTCAAGGTAGTTAGCATAAACCTGACATGCTTTCTGTGCCTCTTCTGACAGTTCGAACCTGCGGAATATATGCTAGCTTATAAACTTATATGTCTATAAATGCATTGAAATTAATACAAGTATTTAAAGATTAAACATACAGGTTATCCTCTCAGTTTTTGGATATAGGATATATCCTCTGGGAAGATATGGTATCTTCCCTTAGGTGGCTTAAGGATTTTATGCAAATTTTAACAAACACTGAATATCTTTCCAACAGATAGTGTAGCATTAGGTGACCACCTAAAATTGAATCGAACAAAATGATCATGAAATCCCACCTAAAAACACAAACTATAAAACTAAATTAAATTAAAAATCTGAAGAAAAAACAAAATCACGTCTCCAACACAAACAATCACCAAAGAAGCAAATGAAATATTCCTACAAAATCAAAAATAAATTTAATAGTTTTAAAGGTAACCAATGGCTTTGTGTCAAGTTAAAGGAAATGTTAATTTGAGAAACATACAGCCACCTCACCAGTGCACCACCAATATACCACCAGTATACCACCAATAAACCACCAGTTTACCCAAACCTGTAAATCACTTCCTTTTAGAACCACAACCAAGGTGCATTTTTACAAAAACAAGATGATAATCCCTGTATTTCACTCCCAAAATAATCAGTCCCCATCAAAATAATCAGTCATTTGTTTCTTTCCCAAGATGACCAATCCCAATTTCAGAGTTTTTCATGTAAAATGGTTAGCATCCCTACAATTTATTCCTCTACCAATTACCAAGATGATCAATCCCAATATTTTATTTTTCTACCAAGATGATCAATCCCTGTGTTACTCTCAAATTCTAAAATGACTGATCCCCATATTTGTTACTAAGATGATCAATCACTGTGTTTGTCTACCAAATACCAAGATGATCAATCCCCATGTCTCTAGCAAGCTAAGCATAACGATAGCAATACATATGGACAGGCTAACCTACTTGATCATCAAACATTGCAACATAAATAAATAAAATATAACATATACAAAATCAAATAATAAGAAAATCATTTAAAGCAATTGGTAATCTACATGTGGATTTGTCAAGCAGAGGCAACTCAAAGGAAAAGCAGAAGAAAATATTGGTCGTGTTGGAAAGATTTCTCGTAATTCAGATGAAGTATTTAGCCTGTGATTTTGATGCATACTAAATACTGTAATCAAAATTCAAAGTGGTTTTAAAGTTCTACCTGCGATGTTGTACTATACATGTAGTCTTGTCTTGATTCAACCCCACCCCCCAAAAAAAATTGGAATATTCTATTATTCTCATTCACATTCCCCATATACAGAAAGAGTGAGAGACTATACAAGACTACACTGTATATCTTTGGCATAAGCCTTGCATCACCCCCCCCCCCTCCCCTTATATTCTCCTCCCTCAATATAAGCAAGGGAATATGAAGTGTGGGAGGGAATCAATGCAAGACCAATTCTAATGTAATCTAATATACACAGGTAGTAAGGTAAATCATATCTGCCAGTTACAGTCTTGGATGTTAAAGAGACAATCTGGCTCACAAAGAGGATAACTGTAAGTCATAAAAGACATCATACATCCTCTTTAACCGGATATTTTTATTTGGTGGGTTAGAATCATATTGGTTGGTTCAATGACTACGTTGCTAGCAAATGTTGTTTCTATACCAGATTGTACCTTTAACAATAATGTTTCAATTACCAAGACACCTGTGCATGTTATCATATCTATTAAACACAGGAGGACAACAATCCCATAAACATTGAGTTTGTATATGGGATGACTGATCCTCCTGTGTTCTTACACCATCTTTCATAAACAAAAGCAAATACAGCCACCTTAGAGGATAATACCTACATGCAAACGACCAGAGAAGAAATGATGAAAAAGGGTTTTTGAAAAAAATGTACTTTATTTATTAGTATGTTTGACAAATAATATTTATTTTATATGATAATTGACAGGTGATGAAAGAAAAATATTTCAATTGTGCTTTATATTGTACAACATTAACATTTTTTAAATAATCAAAATTATAAAATGTTAGTATTTCTTATCCACTTATCAGTGAATTAAATGTGCAACATCTAGAATTTATGCATTGATTAGGATTTTTTAAAAGTGAAATTGATTTTTGTGAAGTATTTCTGTGAAGTAAAAGACACAAGTTTTGTATTTAAGAGTATTGAGAGAGGATTTTTGGGCAGGGTAACATGCTTGGTATAAGAAAACTAAAGTTCCATGCAGCATACTACAAAGGAAAGTGTTAAAAGACCTCTAATCTAGTGTTCTTCCCAGAAAACATATCCCAATTAGTCAAAATGTCTTGTTTACCCATTCTGACCAAGAAATGTCCAGAACTGCATAAAATAACCAATTTTCATAATTTTCCAAAATTCAAATGAAATACAATGGATTTTCAATAATTGAAACATCATTAAATTCTCAATCGAGCAGTCTCTTCAAAGATGAGCAGAACACTGTATACAGGGTGATCAATAAATAAGGTAAAAGTATCTGGTATTTTGTAAATATTGGTCCAAACATCCTGAAATTTGGTCAGAATATACCTTGTACATTTCTGAATTAAAACATATAAATACATAAATTCTGTCATCTGATTGGTTAATATTATAGTTACCATGGCAACTGGAGTCAGAGGTACCCGGGGCAATTTAATTGCGTCCAATTTGAAAGAAAAATGATAAAAAGCACCTCTTTTTCAAACTGAAAAGAAATAAACATGGGTGCCAGCATTTATTGTTTTAATACTTAATTACCATTGTTACATACTCACTTGCAAATTTGGTCTTTCATGTCAGGAAAATATAAATATATAATATAAACTGATTTGATCATAGAAAGTCTATGACACAGGTCAATGATGAAAAACGATACTGAAGAGATTTGATGAGGGCAAAGAGAAAGAAGAGGCCGTAAAACGTTTCACATTGCACTGGGATAATGCTTCATCTCACAATGCTATTCTCACGGTACAAGACATTGAAGCACTGGGTTTCCTACTGTTAGGTCATGTTCTATGCTCTCCTGACTTTCTCCTGCTCGCCATTTTACCTTCATGGCAACCTGGAGAGGGAGTTGAGGTAGTTTCTCATGGGAAGACTTAAAGTCAGCTATCTTAAAAATTTGCAGCAGGCTATGGGAAAATGGGTTTAAAAAGGTGTTCAAAGACTGGAGTAGAAGACATGAACTACATGGTAAAAATAAAGGACATTTAGGTAGAGAAGTTATGAAGTATAAAATAAGAATATGATATGTCATTTCAATTGTGATTTGAAATATATTATCAAAAGCGCTTCGACTGAAAATTTAGTTCTTTGATAGTTGCCCCGGGTCTTCATGCTTTCTGTTGCTATGGCAACCATAACTTCAACCAATCACATCACTTTGATCTGTTACTTAATATTTCAATTCAATAATGTTTGAACATTATTCTGTGCAAATTTTATGAGGATTGGGTAAAATCTGAAGAAATACCAGATACGTTTACCTTATTTATTGATCACCCTGTATACATGTATGTAATGATTATAAATTATCAAATTTACAGTAAAACATGTCACTTTGGCTGACAGTGATGGTCGACAACAGTCTTGCAAACTGCAACAAGAAAGTACAGTAAAACCTGTATATAGTGAACACCTAGAGCCACAAAAAGTGTTCACTGTAGTAGGTAGGTGTTTACTACACAAAGGGGATAGGTGTCAATGTACGAGGTGTGTTAAAGTCATGTTCACTATAACTCATATGTTCACTAAAGAATGTTTTTCTGTACTTCCCCTTTCACATACCAACACCAGATTTTAGTATCATACACATCAACAGTTTTACTGTAAATAATAAAAGGACTTAAAAGCGAACAGCAAAATATAGTAAAGATTGAATTAACATTTCAATTCCAACACTTAAACTACAGTAGCTACCTGAGATATTATACGAAGCTGGAGTTAAAACTTAAATATGCCAAAATTGATAAAAAAAAATGAAAATGACCTCAGACTTGTACCATGAACAGCCAATGCCACAAACCTTTGTTAATGAAAATATCGACGTCTAAAAAAGGTTCACCCAGTAAATGAATCATTTTTATTCATATACAAGTTTTGTATATCTTTTAGACTTATTTTTGACTATGCTGCTTATTGAGTGAGCAATGTTTATACATGTTCTTATTAAAAAACAAGGTTAAAATGGAAGTCTATACATGGTAAAAGTGACAGGTCATAATGCTTTTCATTTGCTGTATCTTTGGGTCAAGCTACCTGATCGAGTGTTTTGAGACTATGTTAAGACTCTTTTCTAGTGGATAAATTAATACATATAAAGCAGCGATGAGATGTCAACTCATATGCTTCCCACCAAATTGTGTACAAAATCACTTTCGTTTTTGGGTCAGTGATCAAATGGGCTTTTTAGTTAACTAAATAGTGTGAATATCTTAGTGTCAATTCTTAATTCAATCAAAGACATCTCCAAGACGTGTTAACAAGGATATGTGAATGGGTGGTCTAGCAGAATGGATTATATCTAAAATTCAGTGTGAAACTTTTGAGATAACATCTCAGCATTAACAGAATCAGGAAGGTGGTTCTAAGACAAGGAACAGAATTACAACTGGGACTCTTTCAGAAATTTCAAATCCAGGAATACTGGAAACAATTGCAAATCTGAACTTTGTGTATTGGAACCATCAACCCAGAACTTTCAGAAAGCATTCAATCGTACCATTCAGTCATTTTGTAATTTCACATTTTTGTCCTTACTTCCCTTGTAGTTCTAATAATGAAATGTTCTTTCTTGAAAAAAGGTCATTTTGATCTTGAACATAAAGAAAGCAAGACGGAGAATGCAATCAGTGAGTTCAGAAGTGTAAGATGAAGCTACAGTGCTGGGTAAGAAGTGGGGTGAACTTAAGGCTACAAGATTGCGTTGTACAAAGCACATGGAATCACATACGTTTCTCTAATGTTTTGATCAAACATCTTAGCACCAGGAAGGCCTTGAGCAATGGCTTCATCATCTTTACATTTATACACAATCTGTCCTTGGCGACCATCATATGAACCCTCGTCATAACTTGACGAGGATTCGCTACCGGATTCTCCCTCGTCTGAACTGCTGTCATCTGAACTGCTGATATATCTATACAAGCGAGATACGAAGAAAAAGTGATGACATTATGAAGCAACAATGTTAAAGTATTTAAACCCGAGATCATCTTTCATAAGTTCAAAAGTGTAATAAATGGAGTGTTGAAATGCTGTAAGGAATGTTGATGAGCATGTTGTATACATAAAATAGGACTTCCACATAATGTTGACGTTGATTTAAAAAATGTTTAAAATGATCTCTGGGTCATCCAAATGAGACCTTTAACACAAGTGACCTTTATATAGAAAGAATCTTTTGTAGCTGTCATGAGATATTAATCTTAATGTATAAAGTATATCAGAAAATAGATTCAGTCCCTTCAAAGATATTCATAGACATGACCTCCCATTGATACATGTTCAGGTTAATCTATTTCTAAGCACTGAAAAAATCCTCGAAACAAGTTCATATTTCAATTCAAACAGAAATAATTATTCTAAATCAAATTTAATGGTCTAGTTTTTGTCAATGAATACTAGATGTAAAAAAAAAGTGAAAAGTGGAATAAAAGTTTGGACTGATTTTGTAAAAGATCACATGATTTCAAATTTTGAGCATAGCCTAGATAATCTCATCTTATTGAAATTGGACTATGAGCTTAAGGTAGGACAAGCATAATAAGTAATCTGACTGAATAATTTGTAACCATTCCTCTTGCCCCACCTTAAGGCAAATCCTGAGATTACTTTAACTCACCCTCCCACTGTTCCTTCAGCAAAGCTTATGCCCTTCTTCCCAGCAGATTTATCTGTGCTATCTCTTCTCTTTAATATGGATTTGACTCCATTATCTGCCAGACTAGTACCATCTTCACATGTCGTCACTTCAGTTACTGTCTCTGTTGTTTCATCATCCCCTGAACCACCAAGTCGTACTGTTCTTACAGTCTTAGTGGTGGTTACACCTCCTTTATTGCCATTGTTATTATTGCTTGTTGAGCTTGAGCTTCCTATCGCCTTTGAGACAACAGATTTCAAGGACGACATTGTCGGTTCCTGTGTTTGGGTTTGGAAGGCTTCTGAACCCTTATTGGCAATTATTGTAGTTTGTTCACTTGTAGAAGTAGTACCCGTATTCATAGCAGCCATACCATCAAATGGTTTGGATGCTTCACTTTCTGATAAAATCCTTTTTGAAGTTATATTACCTTTAGTGATGATTTCTTCCGTGATTCTTTTCCCATTTAATATTTTTGTGATACGCTGCCTTGTAACTTCCTTCCCATCTTTTCCAGTTTCAGTGATGCTTTGTTCAGACACAATCCTGTCTTCTTCTACTGTATTACTATCATCAAAGTCAAAAGTCTCTGTCATGGCCTTCATTATTGGTGAGCCACCCATCATTCTGTTGATCATTTTATTTGTCATAACTTCTTGGGTTGCAGGAGTGGGGGCATCTCTTGTGATAATCTTACTTGCACGTGTTCTCTGTCGTCCCCCATCAACTCTCTCACCAGATTCATCTCCTTCAGTGTGCTCCTCCGTCACTGTTTCGCCATCGACTGTTCTAGTTATTGTTCTCGTTGTAGATTTCTGAGTAATTGGAATAGATGATGTAATTTTCCTGGTAGTGAAACTGGATCCACCTGAGCTTGCACCAGATTCCAAAAAGTTTCCATCGTCATCACCTTCAAATTCTATTTCTTCCGTAACAGGTTTCCCATTCACAATCCTGGTTATTGTTTTCCTTGTTATTGTTTTTGTTTCAACTGTTGGTTCCACCTCAGTCATAATTTTCCTTGTCCGTGCGAAAGATGACTTTTCTGTAGGTTCACTGTGTGTTGTTATTGTCCTTGTTGTGAAACTGGAATCATGTTCGGGCTCAACTCTTGATGTGACTGTCTTTGTAGTAAATGAGGAGGAACTGGTGTCTCGTTCAGGCTTCATTGCTTTTGTTACAGTCCTTGTCTGGAAAGATGAATCCCTCTCTGGTTCTGATTTAGTAGTTACAGTCTTAGTGAAACTTGAACTTGTCTTCTGTTCTGGTTCAACCTTAGAAGTAGTAGTTCTTCTAAAGCTAGGAATATCTCTCTCGGGTGATTCTTCTATTTGGGAAATATTTGATAAATCATCAAACTTTCTTCCCAAGAATCCACCAGTTTTAGTTGTCTCACCACCCCCATATATAAATCTATCTTGTTCTTCTTCTCCGCTATCACCGGAGTCAAACCCTCCACCACCACTGACCATGAAGAATGTATCTTCATCCATTTCATCTTCATCCATCTCACGTGGACCTTCATCACTGTCCCACTGTGGTTCAGACTTCTCAACCTTAGTCACAGTTGTGGTTATTTCCTCTTGTGTTTCATCTGTCTTCACCTCTGGTTCAGATCTCACAACAATCGACTCAGATTTCTCTGTTTTTGAACCCTCCTTTACAGGTTCAGTTTTTTCTTCTATAGTTTCTTCCTCTTCGGTGATTTCCTCAGTTGTTGTAGTTGTTGTGATAATTTTGCTGACAACATCTCGTAAACTGTCTTGACTGACGACTTCCTCTTTTACAGTTGTTGTTGTCGTTGGTTCAGTCTTTGCAATCTTCACTGTCTTGGCTGTTTTAGTTGGGGTACCTGCTTGTAACATACAAGACACTTGATCTTTTTCTATAGTCTCTGTAACCACACCTTGTACTTCCACATCAAAACTGTCAATTGTGTCTTCTCCTACACCCCTGTCCCTTGTCTGAACCTGGCCACATTTGTCACAAACAACATCATTCACTGAGCTGCTTCCAACTCCTACTTGGCGAGATGAGATTCTATGATCAACTCCAACACTGATCATTCGTTTTTTCGCAGCGCACATATCACAGTCTACCTTCTGTATTGTATCATCACTTACTCCTGTGTCAGTTTTCTTTATCTTCAATGTATTTGTTGATTTATCGTCCACCATTGATACAGTATTCATGGATTGGTCACTAAATGTGATTTCAAAATCAAAATTAGAGTCTGTCAATTTTTTCTCATCTGTGCCGGTGGACATGTTCCGCACTTTTGGTTCCTCTGTGTTGACTCCAGTATTCAGGAGCTGTTCTGTGTGTAGGAAGACTTTGTGGTCTGTTTGGGTGGCAGTCTTATGGTTCATCTTAGGATCAGTGTTAGTGGCTGCAGGGTACTTCACTACTGTAACAGTGTTGGTGGACTTGTGTGTAGGGTTGGGGGATGGCGTGTTTGTAGTGGATGTATGTGTGTGGACAATGTCTGTAGAGCAAGTCCTGTTGGTCATTGAGGGTTTCGTTTGAAGTCCCATGGAGCGTGTCTTCATGACTGGCCGTACTTCAACATCGATCGTATCACCACCAGTACCTCTACTTACAGTGTTAATAGCACAGCATGTCTGGCCGAAATCTTTTGAGGAATAGTTTGTTTGTGTTGTGGCTGATTTCACAGATTTAGATAGAACATCTTGGATGGCCAATCTGATTTTGTCTGAATTGGGTAAGTTGAGACCAACTTGTCCCCCACCTCCTATTCTGTGTCCATGGTGGTGTTCTTCCATGATGGTTCTAGTGTACACAGTGCTACTCTCAGAACTAGATGTATGAGTCTCAGGTTCAGGTGGTGGGCGATATTCTCCAACCCCTATAGCAATACTCCTTGTAGATGGTTTGGTCTCATCACTATAGAAAATCACGCCTACATCTCTAGTAGCAACCTTGCACTCTATCCCCACATTTCTCGTTCGTTTCTGTTGGTGTTGAGGCTGCTCAAGGATAACAGTACGCAGTTCTTTCTCATGTACATGAACACCACTTCCTGTATCAAACACATTTGAATCACCCGTTCCAATACTTCTTGTTACAGGTTTAGGGGCAACGAAAGGCTTTGGTGATTTAAGGGCTTTAATTCCCTTGCCCTGATCAATCATAACAGTGTGGATTTCCTTTTCATGGATGTGTACATTGTGTGACTGGAACATCTCAATCTGGTGGCTAGGGGCAATGGCTGGCTGCAGTAGGTAAGGCTCTTCCACACTTTCATCTCCTATACCTATGCTCCTCATAGCAGCCTTACGTACTGGTTCAGGAGATTTAGGTGTGAGCGTAATATTTGTAAGTTTGGTGGTATGATGCACAGAAACAGGTTCCTTCTTGCCAGCTTCAACTGTGATTTTCTGCCATCCACCTCCAGGTACTGTAGCATTATCAGGCAAGGTGGGTTGTACCAGGTACCAATCTGTAACCTTTCCTCCTCCTACGCCTACACTGGTCATCTTCTTAGGTTTAGGAGCTACCTTAGGCTTGGGGCTTTTGGGCATCTGTCCATCAATTGAACCCCATGGGGAGACTGGTGACAAGGGAGATGTTGCATCAAATCCAGGTGAAATCACATCTCGTTCACCAGCTCTAGGAGTAGACATACCATAGTCAAAAGTTTTCTTACTAGTTAGCCTTGTCATGTGTGATTCTGTGTGATCTGTACTTGTGATATTTGTGATTTTTCCAGAGTCTATCATTTCATTGCGATCTGTCTTGAAATCACCAACTCCCACACTGCGAACATTAAAGTTGTGAGTCTTGGCCTTCAACTGCAACATCAGTAATCTCTTCTCCTCTTTCAACACTGATATCCTTACTTGTAGTATAGGAATGGCTTTCACCTGTTCCTCGAGCTCCCGCATTCTCTGTAAACTAAATGCCATTTGCTCTCTGATTGACTGTAGAGATGCTTGTGATAACTGGGGACCCGAAGGGGTGCCGGCAGATACAGGAAGAGAGGCAAGAGTTGCTGCCAGATTCTCTGAGGTGATGTTGGCATATTTTGAGTTGACGTGAAGGAAGGGAATTGGAGTGGAAGCCTCGCTTTGACTTGCAAAAGTATCAACAGATGACATTGAGCTGGATGAACCACGACGGTCACGTTGATATGGGTATGGTCTTGAATCATACTGGGGGGATAATGGACTAGCCAAATCACTCTCACTTTCACTTCCGCCTTTTCCTTTACCAGCTGCCATAAGGATATCAATAGAGCTTAATGTGCCTTCAATGGAAGTGTCAATCTCATCAAGGATCTTATTACTGGCTGCATCTTCAACTTGAAGACCCTGGATGAACTGTTGATCACTCGTGTTCACTACATCAGGGGGTGGTCCAATATTTATATCCATCATTTTCATTTCTTGTTGCTGCAGATAAACTTCCATTGATTTTCGTAACTTGCGTTTATCACGATGAATTTTCTTTAATTTTTTAAGGTATTTTCCATTGGCCATATCATCGCAATAACGCAAGAAATCCAGGTCGATATGGTAACCATAGGGACAGCATGAGCAGCGGCCATCCACAAAGTCCATGTGGTCAGTTTTGCCATCTCCTTTTACTCCGTTTTCTCCAGATCGCTCTGGAAGGATAAATAAATCTTGGTAATAAATTGCAGTAAAATTCAAAAATAAAGAATAGAGTATGTCTAAAAGTATTATTTAATGAAAAGTTAGTCTGTTGGTGTCCTTTCACTCGCTAAATGATGTTCATTGGTCTTATATTAGAACTCCTACTACAAAAATATTATTTCATTTGGCAATAGTATGCTCTAATAGCATAGTTAGGCATATATGAAATATAAAACTATTATAATTAATGACATTTGATCCCAATTTCATCAACTTCTGTTAGCAGAGCTTCATAGCTTAGACTCTCTTATTAACCCTCCATTGCCTGATCATAAACTGAACTTCTGACAAGATTGATAAAGTGATGAAAATCAAAAGAGCCAGTATTATGCAATAGTGTATACTCAAGCTAGATGATTCAAAATTACCACTTTGAAGTTATCATTCTCATCTCATTCTCTATCAATTATTCAATATAAAGGGTGACCAAGGCATGGGTTATACTTTCAGAGTTAAGAGTACCTTACAAGAAAATGAAGTTACTTAGATTTCACCCTTCCCTTATAGAAGCAAAACCTGGAGAAGCGTAAATAGCAAGATTCAAACATTAAAATATTGACTCCCATATAAAAAACATAATGAATGACTCATTCAATTTCCCAGACATTTCCCTAGTTGTGTAGTGTCTGAAAACCCAAAGTAAACACGAATTTGACAAGGAGTCTTTTCCAATTAAAGTTACCAACCATATCCTTAATCAAGAGGCATGAACACTGTCCTGTTTCCTACTGACGAAACCAGAATATTGACGTAAAATCCCTGACTAACCTCTGAGGGTAACCTTTTCCATTTTAGGAGATTTACTATGTTGTGTCTCTGTAACGTTGAAGTTCTGTTGTTGCACTTTCACATTCTCTTTGCCTGAAATTATAGGAAATTGAACAATTTTAAATTTTTTCATAAAAATCTGCTTAACTTCCACAACCATCCTAGCTGTTATCGTTGTCTCCTCAATATCTGTAATGAAAATTAATAAATCAAAGCTGTCACGATCATAAAGCAATCAACATTAATTTTATTAGCACAATCAGATATATAAGATGTTACGAACAAGCATTTATATATTAAATGAACCAGCATGAATCTAGACAAAGATATCAAAACATATAGCATCCAACTGGACAATTTGGCTAATTATACAAACAACCCAGTGAGTAATGGCCAGTTAGAAAAAATAAGTGGTCGTAAACTGGCTGGCGAGTTTGTAGTTTTGATGCTCACTTAGAAGAAGTAGCTTACAGACAACTTGCTTTCCGTTCTCGTTAAATTGCTTTTCTTTAAGAGTTGTTAGTCTGGACTTGAGATCTTCAGGTGCACATGCAAATTCCTATGTAGGATTTAATAGTCTTTTCCTCAATATAGCGCTATCTGTATCTGAGATATTTATAACATATAAACAACATTAATCTGAAGTGGTTTGTTAACAGGGTAATGTCTCTTTAAAACCAGACCTGATCTGAATACCTAGATATTCCTATTTCCAGAATTATCCAAATTATATTATACAGTGAAACCTGTTTATGCGAATAACTCTCTAAACAGAACAATTTGATTGTGAACATCTCCATCACAATTAACAACAATCATGTTATCTTACTTCATTACTTGGAGAACTTTCCAGATTAGACAAGATGTAATACCATATGCTGGATTCTAACTATAAAAATTCAGTTTCATTCAAATTCATTTTTATAATAACCTCTCACATCATCCAAGTATATAAACCGTAGTATATTAGGTTACATGGTGTACATGCTAAATACCACATAGTACAGTGTATAAGTACTTTTTAATTGTAATGACCATAACGTGCTCTCTTTGTTTTAATGCTAATTGGGTATACAGGGTTATCCAAAAGTAACAGGACTGGTGCTGGCATTTTGTCAATTTTGCACTAAGTATCTTGAAATTTTCACAAATTGTACCTTGAAGTATTGCAACTAAAATTATTAAGTTTCAGAAAAAATGATGAAATGCGGTTAGAGTTATGGTTACTATAGTAACATGACATTCCAATACCTGGGGCAACTTTTTCCTGGAAATGTGATATCTAACATTTTTGCATTACTGAAGAAAGTATCTAATTCACCTACTATAATACATTTCTTGTTTATTTTATTAGTTGCTTTGTTGTAAAGGTGTTGCTATACAACTCAGATTCAAGTATAATTTCATAATGATAATAATATTCATTCAATTACCTGGAATATCACTATGTATAACAGTCTGAACAATTCACGGTTGAGTTTTTGAAAAGACCCAATTTGAAGCCAGTCATCTACCTTGATAGCGCACCTGCCCGCAGGTCACCATTAAAGACCATGCAGCTATAGAGGAGCCAGGTCTTGAGGTCTAAAACCATGCACCATACTCCTCTGATCATGCAATATCTAATGTTTACTTATATTGAGAACAGAATGCTAATCAGTGCTTTAAGACCTTTAAAGATGAGAATGACCTTCTCCAAATTGTCCAATCGACCCTGCGTGACATGTCCTCAAATGGGTTCACTCATGTGTTTGGGTCATGGATACAGAGCAAAGAGGAGACCAAAGAGGAGCCTATTTTTCAAAGTAGATGATACATAGGAATATCAAATGATGTAAAACAAATGTAATTCTCACCAGTTGTTGCATTTCAACTTTGATATGGCATGTCCAAAATGATATGGCATGTACAAAATGCTTAATGTCTCTGTAACTTTTTGCATGTAATGTTGCCCCGGGTATTGTGATGTCATGTTACTATAGCAACCATAACTCTACCAGATTTTCATTAATTTTGTCGAAACTTTGCAGTCTTAGTAACGATACATTGAAGTACATTATGTAAAATTTTGAAGATGATTGGGGCATATTTATCAAAATGCCAGCACCTGTCCTGTTACTTTTGGAACACCCTGTATATTACTGTTATTGTTACAGGCAAAATAGCATAGCTTAATTTTATCTCAACATTAAACACCTTCAAGAGAATTTATATTCATTTGACATAAACTTTGAAATATCAAATGAAGTTAAACACCAAATTGAAAATTTAGATTTCAAATGCACTTTAAAAGTCCCTGTGAACGGCAAAGAGTGTGAATTTGGCGTCAACTTGTAATTTCTAACCTAATATTTTTTGAAGGACCAACATGAGTCAAACCTGATATAAACAAGATGTAACAATGTCAACTGTGAATTATTCTAAACTTATGGAGTTTGTGGTTTCATAATCATGAAGAGAAACAGGAGTTACCTGACATATATATAAATATACATGATACATACAATGAACACTACTTCAAATATAATATATTAGCAACAGGGTGACCCAAAAAACAACCCTCTAACTTTAGTAGAACTTTCTTAATTTTGGTGGAATCTTCTTGAATGTTCTCATGAAGAGTGCTCAGTTCGAGCAAAACGTGATTTAGAAAATAATATTTTGGGATAATTTGATACAAGACCAGGGAAATATAACTTGATTTCTCTTAGGTCCTAGATGCAATTTATATGTCATTGATTGCCAACTTGAATCAAGAAAAAGATTCATGAAAATTCTACCATACATTGAGAAAGTAACATCTAATACTAAAAGGTTGCATTTTTAGATCACCCTGTAGTGACATACAAATGAAGAGTTCAGTTGAGAAACATTCTTTCTCACAGCTGTGGCCTAATTATAAACAATCAAAATAACAAACTTTCTACATACGAGGCCCGATCAGAAAGTTAGTAACCAACTGCTCTTATTTCTTCATACTTTATTCAATCACATTGAAATTTTCACAGATGATGTAGAAAATATTACCCTATTAAAGGAGACCGAGGACAATGGGTTAGCGTCAATTCCATTGTTATTGCTGTTGCTATGGTGACAATTGTTTTGGGTAGGCGGGGCACCCTGTTTTAAGTGGCGTTTGAAGATAATTTGTAGAGTTTTTCTACATGTTGCAATACCTCCAAATATATCAAATTCAAACGTAAGACTACATTTTAACACATAGTCCTTCAAATTAATCGCCGCCAATTTCAATGTAGTTGGGGCAATGTTTCACTCTGTCCTTAAAGAAGTGCAACATTGCACCATTCAATGACTGCAAACTGCCATTGAAAGCTTTAATGATGGCCTTATTGCTGTCCAAACGGACTCTTCGTAACAACATCTTTGCATTTGGAAAGAATTTAGTCACGTGGGGCCAGGTCTGGGGAATAGTATGAGCCTGGGGGAGATGTGTGGCCATGGAAAAGGCTTAATCTACTGTATCTCCGGTAATGTTGGCTTTGTGGAGGGGAACCATTGTCATCATGCCAGTAAAATCCCCCTTCAACAACATTTGACTGATATCTTTCTGTCGATGACTTATAAATGAGACAATGGAGCATTGTTGCCATTGTGATAATACATAAAACAAATTATTCAGTCTTGCATAAAAAATGTTAGGTCATTTGGAGGGATACAGCATGTAAAAAACTCTACAAACCATCTTCTAAAGCCGCTTACAAAAGGGTGTCCCGCCTACCCAAAACAATCATCACCATAGCAACAGCCATAACAATGGCATTGACGCTAACCCATTGTCCTTGGTCTTCTTTAATAAGTTAATATTTTCTACATCATCTGTGAAAATTTCAATGTGAATGAATGAAGTATGAAAAAATGAGAGCAGTTGGTTACTTACTTTCTGATCGGGCCTCGTACATGTCAGAATTTTACCCCAACTATGAGGAAATACAATCACAAGTAATGATTTACACTATAAAGATCAGTATCAAAAAATGTGTAGAAATATACATTTTGTTTAAAATACATATGAAACACTTGGGAGTCAACTTGGACCATAATCTACAAACCTTTTAGTCATAACCTAATTAGCTATGGCCACTGTTCCATTTCTCCCAAACATGAAAATGTCTTATTGAAATGTGTGTCTGTTTCCTAGCATTCCTATAAAACTTTTATTTCCTACCTGTATAATATATATCCGCTAATTCCTTGATTTTCCGGACTGTCTTGCATTAAAAAAAGACTTCCATGTTATCTCCTTCATATCCAATGTTCTTGCACAATGAAAACATAAAATTCCCACAAGTTAGGAAAATGAGTCTATTTACATTGTGGTTTACTATGCAAGAATCAACATTTCATTCCTTGTAATAACACAATCTCCTTCACATAGACTTTCTCTGGAACAATACCTTTCTCTTCGAAGAATAATCCTATTCTACCATTGGAATAACATGATTCAATGGTTAACATACAACGTATATGTTGCGTTAACTTACATACTTAGCATACTCTACCCTGGAAACAACAGGGAAATAACCGCTTAGCTCTCAGCATTCGAATAATTAACATTTTGACCTAGAGTTCTTGATTTAGCTCGTTGTTATTTATGAATATACATGTAAACAGAAGGCATTATGCAATACTAACAACAAAGGCTGGGAAACAGATAAGTACCATGGTAAGTAACACACAAGGTACAACAGTTTGATAAAGTAAAACACATGTCAAAGAGAGTAAATCCCTGCCCCCTCCTTTTACCTACATATTTACAAGTACCTATATACTAACTACTAACTAGTATATAGGTAAGAGGAAGGGGTTCGGGACTTATTCCCTATGGTGTGTATGTGAACACCCCTCTAATCTTAATACCTTCAAATGTGAAGAAGTTGTTTAGTCTCATTTCTAGATATTTCACCAAGTTCTCTTCACAAAAGTTCATCATCTGTATATGCTATAGGTATATAGTGTTTGGTTGAGATTCAGGATACCAATTGAGTGAACACTTTGAATATTCACACTGTTGACTTAATTGTGCCTGCTTGGGTATTTACCAATAGTGTCAAAAATATAGATGAACTGAAGCT